CGGGCGCACGAGCGCTGCCATGGTAGCTGCCATTGCTCTCTGTCTTTGCTCTCTGTCCGGCCCGACGAGTACAGTAATTAGGGGAGGAGTGGAAAGTGGCAAGACAAGAGGAGAAAATGGACAAGATGGATAACACACAGTACAGCCTGGGCCCATGTCGGTGCGCGCCGCCAACGCTACTTTGGCATACAGTACGTATTCTCTTCGAGACGAGTACAGTACCGTAACTGATGTGATTCTTCGAAGCCGAGAGACGGAACAGGAAATGTTTGTTGTCGCCTGCGTGCGCGTCGACCGTGGCTCGCCCGTGAGTGAGACAGACGTGGAAAAGCCTAAATAGTCCCAAGGCGCCCTGAGACGGCCTGGGTAGCAGCAGCTGGCTCGAGGCAGCTGGCTCGAGGCAGCTTACGTGTTCCCTCGAGTCGATGCAGCTGCAGCTTTTCAAGAAACATGGCGGCTGGCGGTGACGCAGAGTGCCGTCCCAGAGCCAAAGGGATGCCAAAAGCCGAGACAGCCCAGCAAGCCATTGGCAGCACCCGGCTGACCGGCACAGGAGCTCCCTCCCACGGGTGCACCCCGACGGAAGCCCGAGGGCGAGCAGCAGCAGGGACGAGGAGGCGCCGTGACCTTTTCATTGTGCTGCGCCGAATGCAGGCGAGCAGTTCACAGAGGGCCTTTTGTTGTTCCTCGGTGTAGGTGTACGGGTACGGGTACCAACCGACCACCTGCCTACCATACGATGCATACGATGCATATCCGTACATGCTTACAAGATACAAGCCCGGAGATTCCGCGTGGGCAGAATGCCATGATGCATGCAAGAGTGGCCTGGTCCAAGCCGCGCGGAAACACAAAGACTGGCCGGCCCAAACAACGACGACGGCCCTTGGACGAGTTTGCGTGGCGCTGGCTGGTGGCATGCACATGGACACTTGCATACGCACGCACGCACGGCTTTAAACATGTGCTGAGATGATCTTAAGGTAAAGTCTAATACCTTTCACCCGGCCGGTCTCGATGGTGATAGGACGGGGGCCCCGTCTGGGTCTATGCATGGACAGCTATTATGCACGACCAGGGCAAAGGAAAGGCGCATGAGTTTGACGCATATGTACATTTTTGTGTGTGCGTGCTTGGCCTTGCATTCACATGTATCCATTCGTACATGGCTGCACTGCCCGTCTAGACAGATGCACGGAGTAGGAGCCCGCGTAGGGGCAGTCAGCCAAACGTCATGGGCGGACATCAGGCTGCTCATGTGTACAGTATTATCCATCCACGTATTCGTACAGTCAACAGGAGTCCGGCGGGGCCTGGAAGAGTTGACGGGCTCTTGATGGAAAACTTCCATTCCATGACACGAAACTCAAGTGGCACCATCGTGTAACGACGACGACGATGACGACCATGACAGCAACAACAACTACAAAATCAACACCGTTCTCCAACAGCAGCCGCAGACTCGTCCGGCAACCACGGCACTCTTGCGCCGCGACAAGGCGTCGTTAGCGCGCGTGCTGGACCGTCGTCTTTTACGACGACTCTGTCTTGTCATAGTGTGCACAGGGGAATACATACGTGTGAGGCGGCGGTGGGGGCGCCACTATTGAAAGGGCTAGCAGCGCCCTCCGTGTACTTGGGGGCTGGGGCGCGACAGCTGAACCCTGATGACTGACTGTCTCGACTTGTTCTTCTCTTCCTTCCTCTTCGTTTCCCCTTTGTGCTGGCTGGAGTGGGTGTGGGGGGGTGTTTGCTTGGTTGCAGAAGACAATGCCGAAATCCGGCAGAGGTGAAGTGCCGTGCGCGCTGTGTCAACTCTATCGATGCATAAATGCGATAGGCAACTCCAAGTACGTACATTAGTCCCATTGGATAAGGTATGAATATACAGGTACGTACCTACCTATCTATATACCTACCTACCTACCTATATATATATGTGTATATATATATAAGTACCCAAGTATACATGTATAAGTATACCTAGATACCTTAGGTAGTAATGTATATATCTATATAAAGTGGTTAAACATGGAGGGCGACGCTTATAAAACACGCAGATATAATCATGGACATGTACTCCGTGTGGATTCATCTGGACCTGTAAAACGCACCCGTTGCGCACGCGAATAGTAGATAACAGGTTTCGCGATATGCAGTGGATACCTGGGCCGGGTGTAATCCAAAGCATTGCTCAAAGGGCGCTCGTGCATTACAGACAATGGACAGCGACGGCCTGCGTGCAATCATGTGGGGAGCGGGAGCGCCCAGAATCCAGATGAGCGCCATCTCTGGTGCGAGGACGGGCGGCTGTGCGCAGACAACAAGACGGTTGGCTCGAGTTGAAATAAGCTTATAGGGTGTCTTGTCGATGCCTCATTGCCTTGGCATGCTGTCGCAGACGTGCCCATGTAACGCGGACTGACACACCGCATGCGCAAGCAGCACTGGAGCAAAGACTGTCGATGCCACACGGCGGCCGCGGCGCACGGTGGGCCGGCCGAAGCGGCTCTCCCACATGAAGCCATGGCGTTGCGACGAGGGCGGAAACGAGGCGATTGATCCCTGCCTGGGTATGCCCATCTTGGGAGGGTTCCTGTCGCGGTGACTAATTATTCATGCTTATGTGCTAGTCAGGTTGTCTAAATTGCCATGGAGCGTGCCAATCTATATACGCTTCGGTATTAGTGTCTAGGAAGCAGCTCGAGCGTGCCGGAACCATGTTTTCGGTTAGTTATACACGCTTCCCACCCAAACGCACACACACTCAAACGCATTGTGCCAAGCCAGCCAGCCAGCAGACAAACTCTTGGCCCCAGTATAATATACGTACATCATATACAAGCATGACGGAGAGTAACTTATAGTAAGAAGAGATTGTACATATAGGTAGGTACTGTGTAGGTAGGTAGGTAGGTACCTAGGTAGGTAGGTCGGCGTCTAGACACATGGTACAAGGCAACAAGCAAGCAGGGAGGGAGCGCGCTCTGCTTTTAGGCAGATGGCCACGACGCACATGGAGGGAAGCATGCAGGCAGAAGGGAGTGGGTTCTCCAAGCCGTTGGTTGCCAAGCAATGCGAAAAGGCTACTGTATAGAGTTGTCGAAAAGGACATTGGCAGGACGGTTATGCACAACTTTGGCCTTTTGCTTGTGCTCCCTCCCGCGGGCCCCTCGTAAATTAGCCGGCTCGTTGGTCGTGGAAAGCATGGCACGTTGCGCCTTCCCATCTTCGAGCCAAGGGGAGGAAGGCGTCACGGTCGCTGTTTTCCGAGAATGGTGCGCGTGCACTGTTTCGGCGCAACAGGCAGGCTGGCAGGCAGGCAAGCAGGCAGGCAGGCAGACAGTCGCCTCGCTATAAAATCTGCCGACCGGCCTCGGGTCGCGTGCTTAATTTAACCTTGCAACCCCCTCGTCTATTCTTTTCTCTTTGTTCCTCGATCGTCCTTGATCCCCCCAGCACGGCGCAGCAGCACGGCGAAGCAGCAACGCAGCAGCAACGCAGCAATAACGCAGCAGAACAGGCAGGCAAGGCAGGCAGGCAGGCAACGGCACGCGAACCTTGGGGGGGCCCGCAATCTTCGACGTTGCGCCTTTTCTTCTTCTCCTCCCATCCTGTCCAACGACGACGGCCCTTTCTTTTGCAGCTGTCGGGTTCCGCCGTTTGCACACGACCTGTGGCGCATGGTAAGCACATTCCCTTGCGCGCCAGCACCCTCGAGCAGCTTAGCGGCCACGACACGAGAGAAAAAGCTTGTCCTGGCCAACAGGCGGCACACCCCCCCTCCTCCATCTCTCTCGGCTCCAGAGCACCCCTCCCCCCCCCCAAAAGGCCCCCCAAAGGCCCCCCAAGACCCCCAAAGCCCCCCCCCCCCCCTTGTATCCCACCCCCTGTGGCAACCTCTGCTACCCCCCCCTGCTCCTCCATGGCACACCCCCCTTCTCGGCTCTGCAGCGCCGACGTATCCATCCTCAACTCACTAATCATGGCCCTTGCTTGTCACGCACCACGCCTTATTACCAACCCCAACCTTAATTTACACTCTCTTCCCTCCTCGTCCTCCTCATTAAGACCTCGATCCTCGACCTCATGTTAACCTCTCCTCCGCCCCATAGCTCTGCCCCCAAACTCTACGACTCCCAACGTTGCGCCAAAAAACAAAACCGTCGAGCGCCGTCAAAGCCACCAGCTACCGCCGCCCACTCATCATCGTCTTGATCCAACAACGTAGGTAAGGCTCACCGTCTGTTTCCCTCGTCGACGACACGCTCCTCGCCTCGACTCGTCCTGGCGCCGCGGATTGGCCCGCATCGCCATGTCGCTTCCCGCCTCGGCCCAGACGGCCATACAAGCGGCCTATCGTGGTCGCAAGCGCGTACCGTGGCCCGCCCTCGCCTATTCTTCACTCTCGGTCGCCTTGGGGTCACAGCCACGCTGCCGAGACCCTCTCGAACCCTGTGCTCTCCAGTCGCCATGCACATCGCCAAGCGGCAACACCTCAATCGACCCTTGTGTGCCTGGGCCGTGACCGCCGCAACCCACGCCTGTCGCTGTCGGACCTGAGTGTTTGCATGTGCCGACATTGCCGTGAGCGACGGACGTACTGTCCTCGGCATCCACGGGCGTACAGGGGGTCGTCGTTTGAGCAAGTCGCTTCAACTGCGACCCAGGCGCCGGCCACTCGGCCCATTCTCTTCTTCACCGCCCGAGCCCCCTTTCTCGCCTCGTTTCCCACTGTCCCGTGCCCCGAGCAAAGTTGACGAGACTAACCCATCCAATGCAGCTCTGGCTCCCGCTTCGGCAAGCCCTCTTCCGCTCCAGGAGCTGCCAGATAAAGCACCAACGCCTTTATCTTCTGGGCTCAAGTGCTCCCCAGCTCTGCGGACTTGAGCCCATCATCATCGTTCCTGTCGCCCTGCGTCTTCCTCGCCGCGGCGGTCGTCCTGCGCAAGCAGGCACGGGAAACAGCTGTCAAAACGGACGCAATCACTTCAGACAAGATGGAGACGTACCACGGCTACGTCCGGACTCCCGGAGACGCCATCAAGCTGTTTGAGGCTTGCCGCCTTGGCCTGCTGCCCCGAGTCCAGCGCCGCTTGTCGGAAAAGGAGAGGCAGTCGATCCGCTCGGGCTCCGTCTTTGTGTGGGATGAGCGTGAGGCCGGCATGAGGCGGTGGACAGACGGCAAATCGTGGAGCGCCAGCCGCGTGTCCGGCAGCTTCTTGACCTACAGGGAAATGGAGGGCAAGCGGGGGGGCGGCTTCGGCAACGGCAGGAGAGGAGCCGGCAAGACCCCCGACTCGGGCCGCGGCAGCGACGAGGACCACGACGACGGGGAGCCCGAGGGCTACCGCTACAAGGCCGACGGCCTGATGAAGCAGTCCTTCAGCATCACCACCTCCAATGGCCAACATCTGCATCTCATCTCCTACTACTCCCGGCCGCAGCCGGGCCAACCGGACCTACCCCAGCCGAGCTCCGACCCATCCCTGCGTGCCATTGTTCCGCCCAAGGGCATGTATCCTGAGTCGAGCATGGGCGAGACGAACCAGACGCCGGCACTCACGCGCGCGCCCATGCAGCAGCCATACATGATCGCCCCCCAACATTCCCACGCCCATCACCAAGCCTACGCCTACGGCCAGCCCGGCTACGGATGGCCCCCGTCGCCGGCCGCAACCCCCCCGTACGGGCATTATGCGCCGTCGCCCTACCCGCCACACGTTCATGCCCTGCCTCCGCCCCAGGCCTCACAGCCGTACGCGACCTCGCACTACACGCACGCTCCACCCCACGAACGGGCTCCGCTGCCTCCACTACAGAACCCTAACAAAGCCGGCTCATTACCGGTCTACCCAGGCCACACCGCCGCACATGGGCCGTCGCCGCCGCGATTGCACGACTCGCCGCGGCAAAAGGACCTGCAGGCGGCGGCACAAGCCGTCATCAGCGACCACCATCTCGGCAATGGGTTGGCCAAGGGCTCCCATGGACCCCTCCCGGCCCTCAACTCGGTGGCACCCGGGACTTGCTCGTCGAGCCACCCGGCCATGGCGACGCCACCCATGCGGCACATGAGCGTCAGCCCCCCGAGCATCTCTCACCCCGATGGTGCCATGCCCCGTGGCAGCACCAGGCCGAGCCTATCGGCCCTCCTGCACCCGACGCCATCCAACAGCGAGCCCAGCAGCGCCAAGACGGCCAGCAGCGGAAGCGCCAGCAGCAGCCCGCGGACCAACGGCCTGGTCCTGGACAAGGGTGGTGCCAGCGAGGACGCCAGAGCGCTGAGGATGCTGGATCGCAAGTTTTGCATCTGAGCGGAGTGGAGGGTCTCCGGATACCGATAATACCCTGGTGGGCTGCGCGAGGCAGATTACAGCACATGGAGTTGTTTGCGTGACGCATTTCACCGGCGTTGATATTTTTTAGGTTGGAGAGGGGGAATCCGGCGGCACGAGGCGCATTGACGACGCGGCATGTGTTTCCCTTTTTTCCATTTACGCTTATTTCTACCCTTATCTTTGTTGCCGCAGCGGGGGTCAGGCCTGGGAATGCAAAGGCAGGGACTGATCGCCCTTTGCAGCGGAGACTTCCGGTTAAAGTTTGAGACGTGGAGCACCTCGCGTTAAGTAGGCAGCGTCAAGTCGAGCCGATTTGCCGGGGCTTTTCAGTTGGCCCCCGCATTGGAAAGAGAATGGATGCGACGTCGAGGCCAACAAGGGCCTTTGAAATTTGCAGCAGTCGAGGATGTGACTTGTCGTGAGTTGGGTGCAGCGGTGGCAGCAGCGAGGTTCCTGCATTGCCCGGCAAGGGGGTCAAGTCGGTATACGAATAGGTAGGTAAGACCAGGCCGGCGGGGGACGGCGGCTTCAATCAGCGGGCGGCGATGATGAGGCTGTGCGGTTTGTAGACTGGGTTTGTAGACTGGGACAGGCCGGGAAAAGTCCGAGGGTGGCTGTCCAGGACGGCTCGCCGGAAAAGGGGGCGTGGGAAAAGAGACGGCCACCTGCATGCACAAAGAGACTCAACACTGAACATATAGATAGATGCAAAGGATCAAGATGGCTTCACGGCGGTAATTAATCAAACGCCGTTACTTGGTACATGCAGATACATACACGGAGTGTATAAGTGGGAACATGCAGTCGTTCGTTTCGAGTAAAAAAAGGGGGCGTGTCGCCGACTCTAATCTCGATGCATCCAGCCTTGTGGCCACAATTGCCCAACCGGAGCATTGATGGGAGAATATCGACCCTTTTTTCCGTGTCAGTGCGCGGCAGTCAACCAAAAACGAATTGAAAACAAAGCTTGTCTGCCGTGGCCAAGCCGGAGAGGAAGAGTAAAGACGAAAAGAAGGCAAGAGGGGTACGTTGAAGGGAAAGAAACGGGGAGATAGAGGGGGGGTGCGTGTTGAAGAGAGCCGTTCGTTGTTGTTTGTGTCCCATGCGGGGGCGTAAGAGAGTGTGCGTGACGCGCAAGCAGGGGGGAGAGACATGACCGGATAAGTCGGATCTTCCAAGCCTCGCCACCTGCTGTTGTACGTACTGGATGTGTCAGGTCGGACATGAGATGAGCGCGCAGCACGGCAGAGACGAGCACGGGAACCAACGAGGCAAGCCAACCATGGTCCCCTGTACGGTCCGGCGGGGAGGGGTGGATGGACTGCATTTCCTTTACTTTCTTTGTTTCTTTTTTCCTTTTCGTTACTTTTACCTACGACATAAGCTTGTTTCCTTAGCAGACACGTTTATTTTCCCTGGCCCACTCGCGTAAGTCTGTCGCATGCGTGGGCAGTCAAACGACGATCGCTTGTCTGCCTGCCAATGAAGAGACGAGTCAGGCCTGGGAGGAGGGGGAACCATCGTGGCTTGACTTTGCGTCGTCCTCACACGATTCGAGCACCTTTCACGAATACGTGCCTGTGGATTGGCGAGAGGCCCTGCTTGGGTGACGCTCCTTTTCGGCGTATCCCCCCCCCCTTCTTGCTTGGTTGTGTGGCTTCATGCGGGTGATGATGCGTGCTTGTCGAGGGGATCATGGACAGATTGGCTGCGGCTTGTGACTGTGTGAGTAAGAGGTGGGAGTGAAGGAGCCTGAGACGCGCGCGGCCCAGCACACAGCACCGCGCCTGATGCGTCTTTCATCCACCCACAGCAACGACGGCGGCTCACTCGGCCTGGACCGCCCTCCTCTTCAGCACGGCCGAATTCTCGTTGAGCCCGTGATAGTCGTGGGCGTCGAGGCAGGCCTGGCGACTCAGCAACACGGCGGGCGCGGCCCTCTGCGTCATCTCGGCCTCGTACTCGTCGACGGCCTGCCTCTGGGCCGACTGCCCGCCGTGGCCCGCGCGCTCGAGGGCGCGGCACAGGTAAAAGGCGTCGAGGATGCCGTGGTTGGCCGCCTCGCCGCGGTACATGGTCATTGCGTGGGCGGCGTCGCCGACGAGGGTGACGCGGCCGTCGCGGTTGTCCCAGGGCCGGCACGGCCAGTCCTGCAGGGCAATCTCCATGATGGGGCTCGACGCGGGGATGCCGTCGATGACGGCGCGCAGCGACGGGTGGAAGCCCTCGGCGCGGCGGCGCATCTCGGCGAGGCGCGCGGCGTCGGTGGCGGGCACCTGGTCGGCGGCCGGGTCCTTGACGAGCCACGAGATGATGACCTGGACGCGGTAGTGCTCGGCGGGCGTGGCGCGCGAGCCGTTGGTGTCGGGCGTCTCGAGCAGCGACACCCACAGGAAGTGGCCCGTCTCCGGGTGGCAGCCCTGGAAGAGCAGCGGGTCGATGTCGCGCAGCGGCTGGGCCTGGTCGGGCGTCAGGTCGACGGCGGCGCCGACGAGCTTGACGGGCAGCTGGTGGTTGGCGTGGGCGTCGGGCACGAGGAACTCGCGGGTGCGCGAGCTGGCGCCCTCTGCGCCGACGAGCAGACGGCCGCGAGCCTCGTCGCCATCCTCAAAGACGGCCCTGACCCCGCCGCCGTCGGCGACCAGCTCGACGCGGGCGAGGCGCTTCCCCCAGCGGACGTGGCCGGCGACGCCGCGCAGCAGGGCCTTGCGCAGGCGCTCGCGGTTGACGCGGCGGCGGTCGTTGGGGGGGATGCGGAACTTGGCCTCGAGGGTGGCGAGGTTGAGGAACAGGAAGTTGCCGCGGTCGCAGCGGCCGATGTCCGGGTCGACCTGGACGGCGTCGATGGCGTCGAGCGTCGCGGCGTCGAGCAGCTGCCGCAGGTAGGGGAGCACCCAGTGCAGCGTGATGGCCCAGCCGTGGGGGCGGGCGTCGACGTGGGTGTCGCGCTCGTATATTTCAAAGGGTATGTTGGCCTTGGGCGGTGAGCAGAGGGGAAGAGGCGTGTCGTGGGTGGTCAATACCTTTTTGAGCCCGTGGGCGAGACAGAGGCCGACGACGCCGGCGCCGCAGATGATGACGGACATTGCCTGTTGCGACCTTTATGACAGGTAGTAAATGTTGGGGAAATCCGTCGAAATGAGTGAGCTGGTCAGATTGCAAAGCTGTCTCGTTCATTCCAAAAAGAGAGGTGCATCTGCTGCCATTGTCACGTCCGACATGGCCTGTCGGTCATTTTCCACTTTGAGCCGAGCCTCGGTCGGCAGCGCCTCTACGGCCGACGCTCGACTCCTCCCCTTACGACTGCTGCAGCTAATCCGAAAACGCACCGCCCCGTCATCTCGGTGGCCTCGGAACAAGGAGGCTAAGCTGGCTTGGGAAGAAGAGTGTAGGGCTACCTGTCGGTAAGCCAAAACACCACCAATGCGCGCATCCGCAGAGGCTCGAAGCTGGTCCTCGTCATCTTTCCTCCTCCGTCGTCCTTCCTTTCTCACATATTTCTTGTCTTCTTCGTCCTCAGGACACAAGCTCGACTGAAGCTGTCTCGGCCCTCCCTCCAAGATTGTTCTGCAGCCGTCGGAAACCGGGAGTCTTTTCTGGATCGCGACTCGGTCCAAGATGGGAGACTTTTTCATTGTGCATGCCGCGGAGAGTGAGCGTTGCGAGAGGGACGCTAGGCTCACGGCGAGAGAAAGAATGCCGAGTCATTGCGCCGCATGGCAGTCTGCCAAAGTGTCGACTGCTTCCGCGACGCTTTTTGCTGGCCCGCTGAAACGGAGGATTTACCAGCTTTAAGCTTGTAGGCCCAGCTTGAGCTTGCAGCTCCAGCTTAAGCTTGTACTGTAGGCCCAGCTTAAGCTTGTAGGTGTCCTCCGGCGCGGTCCGTCGGCGGGGAGGGTGGAGACGCCTGGAAGCCGCTGGGCGGGGGAAGCTGTCTAAGCCGCGACATTGTTGTGCCGACCCGTGATGATGAGCAACTTGGGGAGTACTGTACGTAACTTGGCTAATTACTTTATGCCTGACTGGCTCGGGTCACGTGGCGAGATGGACCCTCAACCTGCCTGCCAGCATTGAGCCTCTTCGCGGGCTATTGACCAAACGAACAAGGGCATTGTTGTGCGACGCTGCCTCCAGCCTTTGCTTCGACGCCCGCCCCAAGCCCTCAGCCATTGACCCCTCTCCCTCGACGCAGAGGACATGCCCGCCATCGCCGCGGCAGAGCCCCGCCACCGTCCCTCTCCCTGATCCCTCGTGCGCGCAAAGGACGCCATGCTCGCCGCGCCGCCTTGATCGCCAAACATGTTCACCTTTTGCCCCCTCCAGGGCGCCCTCTCCGAATCCACGGCGTCGCAATCCCTCCTCGAGCTCGATGGCGGCGTCAAGGTCCTCGTCGACCTCGGCTGGGACGAGTCGTTTGATGTCAACAAGCTAGCCGAGCTCGAAAAGTGAGTCTTCGCCACGCCCTGCTTCACCGCGACGTCGCTGACGATCTGCTGCCCGACAGGCAAGTCCCGACGCTCTCGCTCATCCTCCTCACCCACGCCACCGTCTCTCACCTCGCCGCCTACGTCCACTGCTGCAAAAACTTTCCTCTCTTCACCCGCGTCCCTGCCTACGCCACCCGCCCCGTCATCGACCTCGGCCGCTCCCTCACCCAAGACTTGTACTCGTCGACCCCCGCCGCCTGCACCACAATCTCCCAGAGCTCCCTTTCCGAGCTCGCCTATGCCTATTCTCAGACGGCCTCGACCGCCCAGAACCTCCTCCTACAGTCCCCGACCCCAAGCGACATCGCGCGATACTTCTCCCTTATACAACCCCTCAAGTATTCGCAGCCTCACCAGCCGTTGCCGTCGCCATTTTCCCCGCCGCTCAACGGACTGACCATCACCGCCTACAACGCGGGCCATACTCTCGGCGGCACCATCTGGCACATCCAGCACGGGCTGGAATCCATCGTCTACGCTGTCGACTGGAACCAGGCCCGAGAAAATGTCTTTGCTGGCGCCGCCTGGCTCGACGGGGCCGCGGGCGGCGGAGCCGAAGTCATTGAGCAGCTGCGGAAGCCGACGGCTCTCATTTGCAGCAGCCGGGGCGCGCAGGCCGGCGGCCGTGTTAAGAGAGATGAGAGCCTGATCGACATGATCAAGGCGTGCGTGTCCAAGGGAGGCACGGTGCTGATTCCCGTCGACTCGAGCGCCCGTGTCTTGGAAATGGCCTACTTTCTCGAGCACGCGTGGAGGCAGGATGCTTCGCCCAAGGGCAGCACTCTGAGATCGGCCAAGCTCTACCTCGCTGGCCGCAACATGTCGAGCACCATGCGCTATGCTAGGAGCATGCTTGAGTGGATGGACAACAACATTGTGCAGGAGTTTGAAGCGTGTGCCGAGGGGCAGCGCAAAGCAAACGGAGCCAATGATAGGAAAGAAGCCGGCCCTTTCGACTTTAAACATCTCCGGCTCCTTGAACGAAGGGCGCAAATCGCCAAGCTGCTCAGCCGCGTCGGTGATCATGGCGAGTCCAAGGGTCGGGTCATATTGGCCAGCGACATGAGCATGGAGTGGGGCTTCTCCAAAGACTTGATCAAGGGCTTGGCGAGTGATTCCAAGAACCTAGTCATTCTGACCGACAGGCCAAGCGTGGCCAAAGACGGCAGCGAGTCTGTTGCGAGGACCCTCTGGGAATGGTGGAAGGAAAAGCGGGACGGAGTCTCTGTCGAGCAGACGGCTGGCGGCGACCAACTCGAGACGGTGTACGGCGGCGGTCGGGAGCTGCAGCTTCGCCAGGCTGCCCGACAAGCTCTCGAAGGCGACGAGCTCGCCGTTTACCAACAATGGCTCGTCACCCAGAGGCAGCTCCAGGCGACGCAGCACGCGGGCGGGGCCACGGCTTTGGAGGCATCGGCCGATGTCGACGATGCGTCTTCAGATTCGTCGTCTGATTCCGAGGACGAGGATGGCCAGCAGCAAGGCAAGGCACTGACCGTTTCCGCAACCATGGGCCAGGCCGGGCGCAAGAACGTGGTGCTCAAGGACGAGGACCTGGGCATCAACGTCTTGATCAAGAAGAAGGGCGTCTACGACTTCGACTCACGCGGAAAGAGGGGCCGCGAAAGATGCTTTCCCCTTGCCGTCCGGAGAAAGAGGAACGATGACTTTGGGGAGCTGATTCGACCCGAGGACTACCTGCGCGCGGAGGAGAAGGATGAGGACAACGCCGACGGCGGCAACGTGGCGGCCGAGGACGACAAGCTTGGCAAGAAGCGCAAGTGGGGCGATGTCGCCAAAAGGGCCTCGGGGCCCAGGAGACGGGGGCAGGGCGGCAAGGCGCAGGCGGCGGCCGAGGCCGTGGACGGAGCTGCTGCCGCTGCCGCCTCCGCCGCCGAAGCGGTCGAGCACGACGAATTGGACGCTGTGGAGGATACGGAGCCCGAAGAGCCGACGGGTCCGTCCAAGCTCGTCTACAACTCGGAGACGATTGCGGCCAACCTCCGCATTGCCTTTGTCGACTTCAGCGGTCTCCACGACCGGCGAAGCCTGGACATGCTGATCCCCCTGATTCAACCGCGCAAGCTGATTCTCGTGGGCGGCAGCCGCGACGAGACGATGGCCCTCGCGGCGGACTGCCGGGCAGCGCTGGCCAAGGACGGGGATAAGGCGGTGGACGTGTTTACGCCCGAAGTCGGCGTCTGGGTCGACGCCAGTGTCGACACCAACGCCTGGGTCGTCAAGCTGGCGGACCCGCTGGTCAAGAAGATCAAGTGGCAAAACGTCCGTGGCTTCAGCATCGTCACCATCAGCGGCCAGCTCCACGCGGCGGCGGGCGCGTCCGAGGCCCCGCCGGCGGACGAGGACGAGTCGCGGGCCAAGCGCCAGAAGACGGAGCCGTCGTCGGCGGCGCTCGCGCCGACGTCGCTGGCCTCGTCGGCGGCACCGTCGGCGCTGCCCGTGCTCGACGTGGTGCCGGTCAACCTGCTCTCGGCGACGCGCACGGCCGCGCAGCCGCTGCACGTGGGCGACCTGCGGCTGGCGGACCTGCGGCGCGCGATGCAGGGCGCCGGCCATGGGGCCGAGTTTCGCGGTGAGGGCATGCTCGTCGTCGACGGCTCCGTCGTCGTGCGCAAGACGACCGAGGGCCGCGTCGAGGTGGAGAGCGTGGGCCTGCCCGTCGCCGGCGGCGCTAGGAGGAACACTGTGTACGCGGTCAAGAGGGCCATTTACGAAGGCCTGGCTGTCGTGGCGGGCGCCTAGGGGGGATGCGCGCGCGCGCGTGAAGAATAAAACTAGACATTTCATGCTTGAACATTGACGCTGTGTGTTCCTTATGCGCGTAGAGAACGGGCAAGTGACTATAATACGACGCTCGTAGCAACATGATGGACGCGCGCTGGCTTCTATTTAACTCCTCATCATCACGGGATCCCTCATCGTACAGCTGGTGTGTCCTCGCCTGGCCGGCTACTGCTCCTCGTCTCTATGACTTGAGTCCGGGGAGACGGCCCAGACTACATCAAACAAAGGCTCCTCCTCTCTTCTAGTCAACACCACGCTTTCTCGTGCCGTATTCGTCTTGTATGCGCCCCAAACGCCGAGCAATGCAACACTAGTCCAACAAAAAAACCCGCCATCCCCGGGTGGTCTGCCGCGAAGCATCGGCAAAACACACACCCCCTTTTTCACCCCCTGATAGCACAAACACAGACGCGACGCAGCATAGGCCTCGGTGCCTTCGGGGGAGGGCTACGTCGCCTGCTTCATGTGCACCATCTCATACGCGCCGGCGCCGTCGGGCCCGCGGCCGCGGCCGCTCCCGCTCGCAAAGCCGGGGTCGGCGTCGTCGGCGTCGAGCGGCGGGGCATTCTCGCCCTGCTCGGCGGCGGCGGCGCGGGAGCCGAGGATGCGTCCGCCGCCGAAGAAGACGGGCTGAAGCTCGCGGTAGCGGCACCCCCACATTCCGAAGGAGACGGCGACGGCGGCGGAGGCGAGCATGGCGATCCACCACATGTAGTTGCGGGGGAGGACGCGGCTGTAGAGCGTCGTCAGGACGAGGTGGAGGAAGTGGACGGTGAGGGCGAAGTCGGGGACGAGCTTGCTGCGGGCGACGAGGACGACGATGGCGACGGCCCTGAGGGCGAGGCAGAAGAGGTTAGCTCACGTCCGTTGCGTCCTCGCAGCGCGGCCCCGGACGGACCCCTCGGCGCTGCGCGGGCACGACACAAAGCGAGGAGTCGTCTCGGCGAAGCAGGGCAGCCATCGACGTACATGCAGAGCCCACCGTCCAGAACCCAGATCAGGGCCAGGAGCCAGCCGCGCGTGGTGTCGCCGCGCACGCGGTCCCAGCCAAAGACCAGGTCGAGGCTAAAGGGCATGCCGGCGACCAGGGCGGTGAAGAGCATGAGGACGACGGCGGCGGCGTAGAAGAGGGCCTGGAGCGTGGCGATCTGCGTGGCGATCTTGACGGGCTGGAGCTCCGAGAGGGCGCCGGCGCGCGGGGGGCGGCGTCGTCGTGGCATTCGAGCGCGCTGCTGCCGCCGGTTTTTTTTTGCCCTTTGCAGGAGGAAGAGCGAGGGGAATGCGGGTTTTCGAGATGGGGGAGTGCGAGGTTGGCTGGGAGAGGCGGGCGGATGCTGGAGAGGGCGGCGGCGGCAAAAGGCGAGAGGGGAAGGAGAGCAGACTTTTGCGTCGTCGTCGGATGCGTTCGCTGGCTTGAGGAGGACTCGGTTCTTATTTATTATTATTGCCTTCGCTCGCTCGCCGTGGCTCCAAGTCGTCGCTCCTTTAACAAAAGCAAGCCCTCGCCAGCCGGACGGAACGGGGGCGCGAGCGACGCGACGCGGCCGCTTTTCGACAAATGACCAGAGCCTCAGGGGCGGGGGGGAGGGGGGGTCCCGCGAGCGCACGAGAGTCCGCGTGAGGCGCAGTGCAGATAAGGCCTGGATGGGGAGAAACGAGGGTGGGAAGTTGTGGCGATTTCAGAGAGAGAGGGCGAGAGAGACGTCACGACCCTGTTTAGGCATCTCGTCGTTGCCTGCCTGCACTCGCCTTGCTACTGTACACCTGTCACCTACCCGAGGCGCCATGCCGAGTACCGAGTACTTGGGTCCCGCGCAAGGAGGCGGAGACGGGGCCCGAACCTGTACCTGGGAAGCAGTCGGCAGCCAGCAACGGGACCTGAACCAGGCCCGAACGGTTATTGCCGGGGGACGACAACTGGCGTCGGCTCACCGCCCGGGCCGTTCTGCCGTGAAAAGCACCCGCCCTGTGCTCTGCTTCGACCTCGCCTGTCCGTCTCCGTCTCCGACTCCGTCTCCGGCCCACGCATTTCCCACCAACAAACACGACCAAAGCATCGAGACTCGAACACGTCTGATCTTCGAGGGCGCACCTCAGCTACAGCCCCACTGCCTCTCCTGCCGGAGCCTGGACAACCCTCGTCCTCGGCTCATCCATCGCCCCTCCAACCATCCATCGTCAAGCAACCGCCGAACCGCGACCGCCTGCTCCAAGGCGCAGACTGCACAGCAACACCAAAATGGGCTGGCGGGAGTGGTGGCCCCTTTCCTCCTCCTCCTCCTCCTCCTCCTCCTCCTCCCCGCGCCGACGCAATCCGCTCCGGCGCCGCCATCCCCACCCGCGCCGAGCGTCAGCAGTGCTGGGCCGCGCGCGACGCCTACTTCGCCTGCCTCGACGCCCACGACATCCTCGACGCCACGCGCGACCCCGCCGCCGCCCGCCGTGCCTGCCCCCGCGAGTCCGACGTCTTTGAGCGCGACTGCGCCGCCGCCTGGGTCACCCACTTCAAGCAGTGGCGCGTCGCCGACGCCCAGAAGAGGAGGCGCCTCGACGAGCTGCGCAGGCAGGGCGCCCACGAGATGACGGTCCAGACGTCGTTTGCCCCCGAGGCTGCCTCCAAGCCCGCCAGCAGCAAGGACGACATTCAGAATATGCTGCATAGGAAAAGGAGTGCTTAGACTACAACCCGGTAACGGACAAGAAATGCATGGCAAGAAGCTGGGTAGAAAATGTATTCCTCTTTCGCCACCACTATACGTCCGCACGACAACACGACGCACACCGCGGCCCGCCATTGAGGGCCCTGTACAAGTACCACCATCTATTACACGAGCAATCAATGTCACTCTCATCATATCATTTTATGTTCTAGAATACCGTGAACCAGCTTCGCTGCTCTCGTTCCACCTTGACTATAGTACAAGGGGCAAGAATGGGCCACCGAACAAATGAGAACCAACGGTGAAATAAAAATAAGGAAAAGCCGATCTGGAGGCTTACATGCTGCAAAATTTCTTGTTTGTGCGTTAGTGGTATCATCCATGTTTTTTCTTCAAAGTCAAGGTAAAAGAGAGGGCACGCGTGCAAGAACACAGCCAAGACCAACTTCTTTGCATGTCGAGCTTCCCACTCTGCCACCACGACCATCAAGCCCCATTGAGAAAAGAAAAGGGGAGTTGGGCATGTGTCCAGGCTCTGAGAGTCCACGACTCGTCTTCGTCATCGATCCCTCCGCTTCTTCACACTTTCTCCCTAGTCGTGTTGCAAATATGTCTATCCATCCGAGCGTCCACGTCAAGCACCCTCTCGCCCAAAACCTCCGAGGCGTTCTGAGCGTCGACATGCTGTTCCCTGGACCACCCCCTCTTCCCTCTTCGTTCGGTTGCGCTGGCGTGCAGCTTGGTCGTCAGGAGATAGTAATCACAAACGGAAATGGTTCAATCTTTAGCTCGTCTCGCCGGAAAGCAGAGGCACGTCATGGTCACGGCAACCTAGGCAACCATCCTCACTCCTCCGCCGTTCGGCTTCTTTTCCCCGGGAAGGGGGGGCAGACCCTTGTTCAGGCTCTCTTTGCTCAGCCGAGGACGCAGCCTCAGTGAGCTGTCCCTGCTGATCGTTCCGTTGCTATTGCCCCCATAGCCGCTGTCCGAGCTTTCGACCTTGAGCTGGGATTGGCTCTTCGGTGGCGTGGGTGGCGGCGGCCCAGAAGGGGGCGGAGGCACAGGCATCTTGCCATTGGATCCCGTTGCGCTGCTCGTCCCCGGTCCCGCATCGACGCGGCTGCTTTCGCCGACTTCTTCCACGACGGGAAGGATAGACTCGTGCTGCAATGAGTCCCGTTTGTCGGGCATCGACGCCCCGGTGCGCAACGTCCGGTCAGGGACATCCTGCTCCGACGCCCCCTTCGCGATAGACCGTCGCGCCTCCCTCGACGCCATCTCGAGTGTTTCTCGCCCTTCTGGGGACGCCGAGCCCCCCGCTGGTGGTGCTGGCGGCCGGTGGTCCGGCATGGGCGGGATGCCGTGGTGGGACCTGGGCGTGGGGTTTTGGTGTGATGCCTGCTCTGAAGCCTGGGCCGCGATAGCTTCCTGATCCTTCCGCTGCGCCTCCCGCCTCCCCTCCTCTGCAGACATGGTGATTCCCTCGATAAAGTTGTAGAATCGGTCTCCGTACTCGTCCGGCGGCAGTGCCGAGATCTGTGTCCTGTCACTCGATAGGCCCTTCCAGAAATGCTCAATCTTCTTGATTATTCCGTACTGGTGTGCGGTGTTAGTCTCGGCGTTCAACGTGCAAAGAGGCCTTGCTCGCCCAGGAGACTTACGTGGGTCAGACAGTCGATGACGCCGAGGTAGTAAATCTCTTCCGCAGGCGAATTGTCCTCATGTGTGGCCCTGAAGCCGCCGTCATCCTGGTTGAAGACGAATCCCGGACGGCTGTGGCCCTCGCGCAGCTCGTCAGGCATCTTGTCCAAAGCTTGACCCATGGGCACCGGACGCTCCTGTCGAATCATCTGCCTGAGCTCTCTGGCCTTGCGTACATTCTCCAGCTTCGATGGAGTTCGGAGGAGGGCCGATTGGGGGTCGTCCTCGGCCGACTTTTCGCCTCCCGGGTTAAAGACCTGAAGAGTCTTGTCGCGTAGATTCTCTTCGTTGCCTCGCGAAAGATCGTGGATGCCGACGAGGAGGGAGTAGTCCATGATCTGGAGACGTTTGAGGAGTACGACATCTCGCTGCAGTTGCTCCAGGAACAGCTGCTTCTTCTGAATGCCGAGCGCCAGTTGCTGTTGCCGCCTCAGCCAGTTGAGATCCTTCAACGTGGCGCGAGGGTTCTTGGCGAGGTCGTCTTCCCTGTAGTCCCTGCCAATCGTCGACCCTTTCAGGTCAAAGGTCGTGTGGATGTCCCGGTGCGGCGGGAAGAGGTTGTTCATGACGACAAAGTGAATTTTCTTGCCGTAGGGCATCTTGACGCGGTGAAGGCCGTAAAACTGAGAGAGGAGCGAGTTGGGGTTGTCCTGGACATGGGTGTAGTAGTCCTTGAGAATCTTCCTCAGGAACTTGTGCTCGGAATGATGAATAGTCTTGATGATGTACTTGTAATCTCTGGAGAAGTAAAAGAAGCTGCCGCTCTTGCCGGGGGAGCCGAGCTCGGAGAGGATGTATTTGCCCGTCAAGGAAACGAGATAATCGGCCGGGTCAAGACGGAACAGGGCTCGTAGCCTACGAAAGACCCAAGGCGCGTAGTCCTTGAACTTGAAGTCGTATTTTGCCGAAGGAACCAGTTCGTTGCCAGTGCTGTGGTACGGTCAGCGCCATGTTATCCCTACTCTGGACAATGTCCGGCTTACATGTCAAACGTCGACTTCTGCTTGGCGTCAAAGTCGGCGTCGGTCAACTCCCGATCGAGCTTGGCGTTGGTCCTCGAGACAGACACCCGGATCCCCGTCAGCATGTTATACGCGGTGACCCAGTTGGCGTGGCTCTCGTCGACTTTGGTGCCGACGAGCACGCGGTCGTCGTCCTCTTCCTCCTTGCGTTTCCGCTTGCTGGCTCTCTTTTGCCGGTAGGCCTCGGCCCACCTGATGGCATCCTCGTCGCGGACCACCTCGTCCCTGGGGAAGTCGGACTGCATTGACCGTGTGGTACGGCGAACAAGATTCAGCGAAGCACGGCGAGTCCCAACGGAGCCGGCGACGCTGGGCGAGAAGCGCCCGCTAGCGTAGGCAGCATCCACGCCATCCCTCGACTGCCGGCTTGGGGGCAGCTTGGGAACTTCAAGCGTGTGTCTCTGCTTAAGGGACGGTCCCCCCGTTGGCGGTTGAAGATGCCCCGAGGAAGATGTGGGCACGGATGCGCTGGCATACTGAATTGCGGGCGGGGAAGAAAACCGGTTAGGGTGGCCTTTGGGCAGCCCAGGCTCTAGGCCTTGAGCGAGGGGGGCTGTCTGTGACCTCGTATTGAGAAGATCAGGTTCGGGAGACGCTGGTGGTGCTTGCGGCGGAGAAGTATCGTCGCCGGCCCGTTTCGAGGCACCATGGCTGCCTTCCATGGGCGGATGGTCTTGTGCAAGCTGGGTCGCCGGGGCTGCCGTGTAAGGCGGGTTCGCCTGGCTTGTTGGAGGGGAAGCGTGGTCATTTGCGTTGGCCGGAGGCAGTCGTTGCACCGTCCGATCGGGCAGAATGGTAGTGCCGTTGGGCTGCGGGTTGGTGGGCTTTGGTGCGTCCTGTGCGTCAGAGTCGGCGTGCACACTCTTGCTGTTAGCAAGGGAGCTCATGCTCGTTGGTCGCGTTACGTTGCCATTCGCGGGCATCGGAGTTGTGTCTGAAATGTCCGAGTCGTGGGTGGACAGGGTCGAGCTCTCGTCAAAGCTCTCGTTGCTCAGGCCGGGGCGGGCGTGGCCGATAGCAGCCCCATTGACAGGACTCTTTGCTTTTGTCGCGATACCAAAGTCGTTTCCGAATTCGAGATGCAGAAGGTCGAGATCGGTGGAGAAGATGGGCGAGGTGTCGTCGTTGAGGAACGAGGGCATCTCGCACTAATCCGGAGACGACGTCGCGCGCGGCTCTGCGAAAGGATGTCGAGGCGAGCAAACGGTGTTGATGTGGCAATGTGATGGAAGTGGCGTGCCCTTGCTCTCTCGTTCTCCCTGGCTCTCTCACACAGGCGCAGACGGCAGACGGCAGACGGCAGACGTCGTTTGGTCGTGCTCCGGTCGATGGGATGACGACGCTTAGTTAAGCGAAGAACTGGGAGGGCTGTGTCTCAGCAGACGCAAAGGGATGGTGAGCCGGTGCCGCGGCCGAAGCACAAGAGAGGGAAGTCAATGGCGATGATGGTGACAGTCATCGAACGTGGTGGACAGGCGAGACAAGGAGCATGGCGCGCGGATGGGCGACGACTCGACAGCTACGCGGGCAGCAGCAGGACTGGCTGAAGAGGGCCCCCGAGGCCGAAAGACTGCGGAATGCGAAGCGGAAGCAGGGCCCGAGAGGGGAAAAAAACAGCGATAAGAAAAAGAGGTGCTGCTTTGCGTCTCCGGGCGTGGCTTCACCGCAGCGACGGCGATGAGGATGACGGGGCGGCGGGCGAGTGGCGGGCGAGTGGCGGGCGAAGGGTTGGAGAGGAGGGTTGAGATTGACCAAGTTTGGCGGGCTGGGAACGCGGAAAGTGTCGTCGTCGGTCTGGCCGCGTCGCCAGCAAGGTATGGAGGTTGTGCCAAGCCAGGAGGGTGGACCTGGGCACCATGTACCCTGGGCACCTGTCCCTTGGCAAACTGGCGGTGCACACGCGCTTATCGTTACTCGGCCAGCGCTGAGTGCACAAGGAGTCTACCTGGGCACCGAGTACCCACCGCCATCTCGCTGCTGATTTGTGGTCGTCGAGGTACTAGGTGCTAGTGGCCGTAGTGGATGGAGCGCAAAATTGCAGCGAGGCTTTGGCGGCTTGCAGCAGGGGTAGCGGGCGGGTGCCCGCTGTAGATGATGCCCGAGTACCACCACCACTACCTACCTACCTGCCTACCTACCGTGCCATCAACAAATGCTGCACCTCGCACCACCGCACACGGCTTGCGAAACGTCGCCTCTCTCACAGGCGCCTTGATAGGCCAGATGGCTGGCTGCTTGTTGGTGAGGGCAGTGGCCGGCCAGCATACATAATCGCCCAAGGCCCATGCCTCTGCGCGGCGGTGAAAGCTCCATGTGCTATAAATGGCTTGGGCCATTGATAAGAATATGCCGCGTGCAATGGGCACTGCAATTACTGTATGCCTCTCAGGCGCATTCCCGCGGGGTGAGACTGATCCAACCGCCCTGCGAGTCGTCCTCTGTCGGTCGCCCCTTGATAGGCAGACGTCGCATGCAGTCAATAGGGGATCTGGGTAATATTTCCATTACGCCTTTTGGTCCTGACTGCGGGTGAGCGGCATCGACTCAGCCACGGCGGCGACGACCCACCACTTCAGCGGCCCGGCCATGGTTGTGTTTTTTTCTTTCTCTCGCTGATTTGATTATTTACCGTATCCAAGTCGTAGACGCTTTCCGACTCTTTGCCCTTGAAGATCAGTGTACTGTATCACCTGGTGTGCATCTCGGTTCCGAAACCACTTTACCGGTGCCTTTGTTTCGACATGCCCACGCGACGTCATCGGGCCATGGACGAGGCCGGCCAAGAGTTGTTTTCGAGACAAACAAACGCTCCTCTTCTACCGATAACAAGAGCATTGAGGCTGCGGGTCCCGCCGGGCTCTCGGTGCCCACCTCGGAGTACCGAGTACCTCTTCCAGCAAGTAATGTCTCACTCGTCATCGACGACTCAAAATTGCTTGATGAGGTCGGAACCGGGGCCCGTTGAGTCGCACCCGTGGGCGCACCCATGGGCGCCCACTGAGCATCATTCGAGTCGTGCCAACACCGCGGTTTACCTGGTGCGTGTCACCACCGCACGTTGGTAAGCAACGGCCAGCCGAATCCTTGCGATGCACTTTGCTATAATCTCAAGGGACCCTTCATTTTGCCGCCCCCAGCTCGCGTTTCTGGGAGCTAAGTGGCCCATGTCCTGGCATGAGGTCTCGAACCAAAAATAAAAACAACAAGCGAAGAGAATAGCACAAAAGGCCATCTCTAGGGTCCTGTGTCAGTAAGGGGGCATGAGACTGCTGGACCGAATACAAGACGCCTGGTCCAACAACCCAAAGAAATCATGTCAAGAAAATGGGCAGCGAAGCTCGGCTCGTTTGACTTTCCAAACGTCATTGGCTCGACTCATTATCGAATCCGGTCATGATCCTCGCACTCGCTTGTGCCGTACATAGCATTAGGCAACAAGGCCTGCGAAACAGCAGGCTTCACTTTGGTATGGATGACTACTGTACCGTCAGCTGTCTAAAAATCATAAGTTACTCGAGTAGTCACCAGATGATGCTTTCCAGACGTTGGACAGGAAGAAGCTCCACGGCGTCGAGAGCCTTTCCTGTCCGACAAGCCCCGTCAGCTTACGGTGTGCTGGCGCCTGTAGTGGCAGTGGTAGTCGATGCTGTATTCATCTTGGCTGTCCCTCGAGACACCTCGGAATCCTCTCGAGCAGCGACTCGGGCAGCCAATGAATTGTCCATGGCGCATCTGGGGCACAAGGGACCTACCTACCTGCTTTTGGCCCCCGACGATGGGTGGAGATGAGACTCCTGATATACATTAATTTCCATCGACGTTTGGGCTTTTCCAGATAGGGCGAATCTGGATGATTTATTTGCCTGGCGCCTGAGGGGCTGCAGCAGACGATTTCGCAAGACGAACTCCGTGAGACGATCGGGACAACGGACCTTTTGTTGCACGCGAGCTTGTGCGGCCAAAAAAAAAGGCGCATTCAGGCTATCCACGGCGTCAAACCTCTGTCATTCTGATTGGGGATGCTCGGTCCAACGAGCCTGATGGGTTCAGCCCAGCAGCATCAGGCCAGTTAGCAGCCAAGACGAGTACAAGTCAGTCGGCGCCTTGAAGATCTGCCCCACCTCCCACCTCCCACCCCACCCGCTCACAATCCCTCTCCCCAAGTTTCTCCTCTTCCTTCATCACCACCACCACCACCTATAACATCATAGCCGCGATTCACTCTCTCCAGCGTGCCCCCTCTCCCATTGCACGGCATCGCGGCGCATCCCCCAGCATACACCCAGCGATAGATGCTTTTGATTTGACGACACTCACACTCGAAGCGCCCGCCTCGTCAAGCCCGCTTCCATCAAAGCAAACGTCTCGGGCGCCTCGCAGCCTGGCTTGGTTTGGCGTGGCCGACTGACCTCGGAGTCCGCCCGGGCTGCGTCCCGCCCTTGTCCCTGTCGCCTTCGTCCACGACGCCGCCCCTGCCGACTGAATGGAGCAGCCAACGATGGATAACCCCGAGAACAAGCAACAGCCGCCCCAGGTTCAACCGTGCAGGTACAAGGTCGGCAAGACGCTCGGTGCCGGCTCCTACTCAGTCGTCAAGGAGTGCGTCCACATTGACACGGGCCGCTACTATGCTGCCAAGGTCATCAACAAGCGCCTCATGGCCGGGCGCGAGCACATGGTGAGGCCCCTAACCTTGCCTGTCTGTCCATCGACGACACAAGCGACCAGTCACTGACAAGTCTCATCGGCAACGACAGGTCCGCAACGAAATCTCCGTCCTCAAAAAGGTGTCCATGGGCCACCAAAACATCCTCACCCTCGTCGACTACTTCGAGACGATGAACAACCTCTACCTCGTCACCGACCTCGCCCTCGGCGGCGAGCTATTTGATCGCATCTGCCGCAAGGGCTCCTACTACGAGTCCGACGCCGCAGACCTCATCCGTGCCACCCTGTCCGCCGTCGCATACCTCCACGACCACGGCATCGTCCACCGCGACCTCAAGCCCGAGAACCTCCTCTTCCGCACCCCCGAGGACAACGCCGACCTCCTCATTGCCGACTTTGGCCTCTCGCGCATCATGGACGAGGAGAAGTTCCACGTCCTGACGACGACGTGCGGTACGCCGGGGTACATGGCCCCCGAGATCTTCAAGAAGACGGGCCACGGCAAGCCCGTCGATCTCTGGGCCCTTGGCGTCATCACCTACTTCCTCCTCTGCGGGTACACGCCCTTTGACCGCGACTCGGACTTTGAGGAGATGCAGGCCATTCTCAACGCAGACTACAGCTTCACCCCCATCGAGTACTGGCGCGGCGTGTCCACCCACGCCAAAGACTTTATCCGCCGCTGCCTGACCGTCGACCACACCAAGCGCATCACCGCCCACGAGGCTCTCCAGCATCCTTTTGTCGCCGACCAGGAGCCTTCGGATGGTGCCGGCGAGAACCTGCTGCCCACAATCAAGAAAAACTTCAACGCCCGCCGCACCCTGCACGCCGCCATCGACACCGTCCGCGCCATCAACAAGCTTCGCGAGGCCCAGAACCTGATGATGGACGGCGCCCGCTCCGGCGAACCCTCTGGCGCAAAGGCGGCCGCGCGCGGCTCCGCGTCGACGGCGGTGCGCAAGGACGACAGCGCGATATCTCTCGGCAAGGACGACAGCGGCTACGCCACGCAGCCCGACTCGGACGACGTGGTCATGGGCAACACGCAGGCCGGCACCAGCGGCGTACCGGCATCGTTACGGCCGGGGAACCAGGCAAACCGCGTCGTCCAGACAAGCCACGGGCTCTGGAGCGCCCCCACGTCGCAGAGGTAGCCACACCGACCCCGTGCTCTGCGCATGGCGAGGCAGCGCGGGGTGCCAGAGGAGGAGGGACGATGAGCGAGAGAGAGCGGTTGGCTAGCTCTCTGGGCGCGGGATATTTGGCCGGGTATTTATAAACAAGGGAATGGGGTGAAGTTGTCTTTGTTGGTATATGCATGCAAACCTGGAACTGCAGATGAGTAGGCTCCGACAACTCGGTGAGGACGAGGGGGACATGATCTACGCTCGCCATGGCGAAAACGTCGACGCACATGGCATGGATATAATCGGCATCTCCTTTTTGGGTGTGTTTGGGGCGAGGAAAGTGTTCTACTTGAGCAAATTCAAGGACCCGGATCTGCGTGAGCGGTGGGCGAGGGGGGAGGACGCGTGGGAGAATCGCCCGTGTATGTCGAGAGACATGACGTGGGCTCATGTGGGAAAGAAAAGCGAGCGTCCGAGACGGGGGGGGGGGGCGCTATGTGATATCATGCACACACACTCTGATGCGTCCAAGGGATTGGGCTCTGATTCCGGCGCGCGCACATGACCAACTGGTGGCCGCCTACCCGGGAGCCAACGCCCGCCTGTCTACGAGCTGGTTAAACCATCATCCTGGATCGTCGGTCGGGTTGTAGATCGGCCCCGCGTCTCCGCGGCAACGCGGCAAAAGTCGACGCCAACGACGACGGACTGGCTGCTGCTTCAGCACGTAGTTAGTTACCCAAGTCAGTCGGGCCCCCCTTTGACTACGCAGATGGAGGAGAAGGGCGAGGCAAAAGAAGCACAGCGACGACACGCAAACAGACCAGGAGCTGAGCCCCCGGGAGCTAGAAACACGGGCGCTTTGCAATTCACCTGCCTGTCGTCATTCCTCTGCAACGTCTAGCGTCTAGCGAGTGGTGTCTCTGGTATTTCCTCCCATTCCCTCCCCGGCCTGCCTGGCGCCTTTTTGGTCCAAATCTCGAAGCCATCCGCGCCTGCAGCCTTGATCATGACGGCCGTCCCAGAAACCCGTGAGCGCCTCCCTTTTAGAGCCCCTGCCCCGCGGGGCCATTCCTCCCTTGGCCGCTGCCGCAAGCCATCGCGAGTAGTGAGCCCGCTCTGTGCGATGCGGGATTTCCATATCAACATAACTTGTAAATGTGTGTGTGTGAGTGTGTGTTGGTGTGTATATGCACAGGTCTGTCTGTTGTGGTGGTTAAACATTACGTATTCTATCATGGTCGAGTGGCCGCCGACTCCCAGGTCGAAAGGAAGAGAAAGTGGCGCTTCGTTCCGGGCGCCCTTGCGCCCACTCTGCCGACTCCCTGCGCATTAATGGCGGCCAGCCGTCAAATCCCCGGGGGCGAGCGTGCACCTCTCCCGGTGGCTCGTATGGACATATCATGGTTGTGTAGAATAGACGGCGCCTTGCGCCGAGTCGCTGTGCCGCTAGAATGCCAAAGATGCAAAGCCAGAATGCTTCACGTGCAGATCGTAGGATATTTCCAACGTCGAGTCGTACCAGCCTGCCCTGGCCAGGGATGACATGGGATGCAGCCCGGTCGCGGCGGTGGGTGGGGTCGGCGAGCGAGTGAGATCGATTGCCGTCGTGCATCGCCATGCACTGTAATTTCCCGACAAGAGCCGAGAGAGACCATCACCTCGTGATGACGACATCGCTCAACTCGACGTCTCGGTGCGAACTCGCATCCCACGGCTGGACGTGGCTGTCCACATCCACGACAAACACCCCCGAGGATCCGTCCGACGAGGACGGGCTGACGGTGCCGCTGCTCGAGCTATAGCTGGAGCTGCTTCCGAGGGACCACCCGTCGCTCGAGTCACCGCGGCGGTGCTCGAACAGTCCAAGTCCGAAGTACTGGCCATCACCGTACTCTTCGTCTGGGGTGCGATGGCGGTGGCCGACTTCAACGTAGTCGTAATCCCATCGAGTCAGCTTGCCGGGCTGGCGCCGAGGCAGCCATCGTGCGCGAGCGGAATAGAAAAAGGCCATGGCGATCAGGCCGCCGCCGACGAGATCGATGGCGTAGTGATGGCTGAGGTACATGGTGGACCACCAGATCCACCCGGCGTAGCCGATGAAGAAGAACTTTAGCTGCGGGAAGCAGTGACTCATGAAGAGAGCTTCCAGGACGGCGTAGCCCCCGTGCAGAGACGGGAATGCGCCAAAGGGCAGGGGCGCGGCGGTAAAGTTGGTCGAGTAGAGGTCGATGCCGAAAATGGCGTCAATGCGTGCCAGGCCCGCCGGGGACCCGGGCATGCCGTAGGCTGCGGGCACGAGGCCGTGCTCATTCTCGTACCACGGCGGGGTGCAGGGGAAGAGCAGCTGGATGGTGACGCCGAGGATGCTCATCCAGCCAAAGGTGCGCGCAAAGACGGCCGTGGTGCCGGGCGCGGCGAAGATGAACATGATGAGGGAGCAGGCGGCAGGGGCTCCAAAATGGATGATGCCGTAGGGGAGCCAGGCGAGTATGTCGAGGACGGCATGCTGATGGGCCGAGAGGATGTTGGATAGGTTTGCCCCGTAGAGTACGTTTTCCAGGGCCGGCAGCACTCGAACCCAGATGTGAGGACGGTATTCGGTGGGGATGAAGCTGTCAGCAGCACGTTAGCGCGGCGCCAGAGTTTGGCTGTGGATGCTGGGTAGTGGAAACTTACCGGCTGCAGAAAAAGTAGACGAGCCAAACCCATATCGTGACCGAGGGCAGAAAGAATTGGCGGGTCGCGGGCATGAGTAGGATCCAGGCGGCGCCGACGAGGGCAAACGTCTTGACGGCGGGGGCCGAAGGGGCTATCCATAGCGAGAAGAGGACGAGGCCGGCCAAGAAGAGGTACTGAAGGTCGGCGGGGTGCCATCTGCGCCTTTGCAGGTCGCGGATGCCGTCCCAGAGGTTAAAGGACTTCTGTAGCGTGGTGATGTCAGAAGCACCGGGTCTAGCGTTGGAACGACTGCGACGGCGGGTTGTCGTGTGGTAGCGGCTCGGTAGACGGTTGAGGACGGCGACAGCAAGGTTCTCGGTCCATAGCGACGGGAGCACCGGCTTCCCCGGAGCCGTGCCCGCGAGGTCCTTCATCATGAGCCAGTCGCGCGGCGGGTTGAGTCAAGAGTCGTCGGAGTCGATTATTCGAGATGGACAACGAGGGCGGAAACGGCGTCGAAGTGTCGGTTGAGAGCGGGTCGAGAGGGGGCGTCGGCAAGCAGCTCTTGGCGCCCAGAAAGAGCGCCAAAAGCGAGGGAAAAAAAAGTATGCCAAAGGATAGCCAAGCTCTACCGCATAATCGACATCGAAAGGAGACGTTGTGCCTGTTGCTTGCTGAAGCAGCCTGGAGAAATGACGGCAGAGTGTGTGAAAGGCCGAGGGAGGCGGATCCGAGTCAGCCTGGTATGTGCGGGCAGCGAGCGAGCGAGGCACGCAAGTGGTCTAAGAGGCGGTTGCGCACGAGGAGGAGGAGGAGAAGGAGGAGAAGCTGCTGCTGCCACCGGCGAGGAGGAGGAGGAGGAGGAGGAGGAGAAAAGGGTTGTCGTGGAGGACGCAGATATCTTAGGAGGTAGGTGCAAGGAGCAAGAGAAGAGAAGCAGGAAGAAAGAAGTCGTGATTTGAGTGTATCAGGTTCGGGGAATGAATGGGAAACCGGCCTTTTGCGCCTTTCCGGCCACAGCTGTTGCTTGCTCGCCATTGACCGCCAAAAGGCAAGTGGGGCCCTTTCTTGGAGGGGCCACGGCGGACTTGGCTTGTGGTGGGTGGAGGCCCGCGGCTACCAGCGCAGCGGAGGTAGTGGGTACGCCCGGTGGAAGTACCTGCAAGATACCCCACCAACGGATGATGAAGGGGAAAATGATATGCGCCAGCTTCAGCGACAAGCTCTAATTAAGCGCAGCAGACAAGACAGCGGAACAGGAAAAAGCAAGGGACGGGGGCTATACGCATCCTGTCTAGCCCTGAGAGGGTGAATGGAGAGCGCGAGCAGGGGCCGCCGACTGCCTGCCAACCTGCCTGCCAGCATGCCTGCCTTGTGTTGTGGTGCTGTGGTGCTGTGGTGCTGTGGTGCTGTGGTGCTGTGGTGCTGTGGTGCTGTGGCTGGACAGATGGCGTGCCACATGCGAGCAAACACCCATGCCCGATGGTGGATCCTTGTCTAGCGCCAGTCCGCCTGTCCGCCGAACCGGAGAGCTCGGGGGTTGGCGCAGAGCGCGGAAAGGCCGAGCGCACTCGCGCTCTCCGGGCCCGTGTGGGGGGGCCGCGCGCTGAGATGACTAACAAGGCAATTGCAAGTCTTGTTAGCAATCAACAGTCGGGGAGTCAGTCGGAGGTACCTTGGACACACACCTTGGACACACCTTGGACGCACGATCCTTTGTGCTGCTGCCCTTTGCGTCTTGGCACGGGTTTCATTACAGTACAGTACAACACACCGGGCCTTTGTGTGCAGGCAGACTGACTGTACTTTGTTAGACCTCTTGTACACGGCTGACATAGGTACAGCCCTACACACAGGTACCGTGCGTACCTACCAGAGCAATTCGGCGGCGGATGGACGGCATGCCATCACAGGCCGTTTGTGGCCCCGGCCGGCTGCAACGGCTCATGAGGAGGGCTCAACGGGCTTCTTTCATCATCGGCAGGTGATAACCTACAAGGCTACTGCTGCACGGGCTTGGAGCCATCAGCTCACCCGTCCTGGTCCTTTTAGGCTTGGGACGCCCCACCGCCGCTCTCTGGTGCTTCTTGTCGGGCAACGGCGGCGACCCGGAACCCCGCAAGTGCCGACGACAGAAGCAAGAAGACATGTGAGTCCTCCTCATGCAGGGAGCCCATTGTCCCAACCACCAAAGACGAGAAAGAGAGAGGCTGGCAAGGGGCGAGGGGCTACACAGACGGCTGCACAAAACCCTTCTCCCGGTGGACGACGGATGCAAAATTGGCCGGTCGATGAGCTCTTTTGACGGGGACAGCGTGAAGCCTCGCTTTACCCAGCCCGTACAACACATTAGGTAAGTAGGTAGGTACTTTATTACACATGACCTGTATCGAGCGAGGTATGCATGGTACGGATGTAGAGATTGCTTGGCAGGTTGGCTTGGCATGGCATCTTTGGTCATCTTGGACGGCCAACGTGCCGCCCGGGATCAGCAGCCTGTATGGGGTCTTGTAGACAGACTCGTTCAATGGCACTGCCGACGGCAGCCCTCTCTCTCTGTCTCCGAATCCTGCACTGGAGCGTCATGGACGAGGGAGGTACTGTACCCTGCCTTCGGAAATGGGTTAAGGTACACAGATAAACTCCGGTACCTCCATGCCGAGGCCTGCCCCGCCGCTGCCACGAGTCCCCTTTACATGGCGCAAATACATGAGCTCCGACGCTTCCGGCCAGCTCTGACGACCACCACCAACGACAACAGCATGAAATTGGCAGCAAGATTTTTCTTAAACAGGCCAACATGGAAGGGCAAGGATGCCGGACCCGGACGGGGGATCGGCACTTTGGCAAAGCATGGACGACTGCCCTTGTCGACGGCACATGTCGGCATCGGCATATCTGCTGTAATCTCGTCAAATTTTTCATCTGGCGTGTTGCTCGAGTCACAACACGTCGCGAGCCCCCAAGACGCGAGACGGGAAAGCATTGGTAATCAAACGGGAATCGCATCAACAAGGGAGCATCGGGGACAAGACGGAGCATTCTCCACGGCGACGGGGCTATCCGGCCCGACGCAATGGCACATCGGACCTCGTAGGGCCCCGAAAGTCTTTCCTCCTGGCCTCGCTTCCCTGGAAAGCGGATGGCGCGAACGCCGGGCGGTGCTACCATGCTGCGTACAGTAGAGCGGGGGGCCGAGCGTTGGGAGAGACCCCTGCTCGGAGGCGAGTCCTGTCTCGCGCGAGCAGTGGTCGCGTGTTCCATGGCCATGTCAGGCCGTGAGGAGCAATGCAATCTCGGTCTACGTACTCCAAGTCCTGTACTGTCGTCTGATGTTGTGGCTCCATCTGGTGGTTTTCACTTGATTGATCAAGACGCAGTGTCACAGTGAATGCAGCTTGTACGTTGTGCGTTTTACACGTGTTGCCCTGCAGCATTGCCGACGAGTGCATGACGACATGAATGCAGCAGCTGGCAAGATAAAGTCTTGGCGTCAGGCCCGCTAGTCTGTTTAGTCCCAGAGCAAGCAGCCCCGTCGTTATTAGGGCGGTACCGCCTACTTCAGCCACATGTACCTACCCTAAGTTACTTACCCCTTACAAAGCGACTCGTCGTCGTCCCATGCGCCGCCTACTGTAGTGGGAGGAGCCGCCGCCGCCGCCGCCGCCCCGCCACGCCGCGCCCGCCGGCCGAGGCAAGTGGACAGTTCGCAAAGTTGCTCCTCGCTTGCTTTTGCCGGCGGCTCCGACTTGGAAAGGGATTTGGCACTGTCCACGCGCAACGTGCCGCACAAGCGGCTACGCCAAGACAACGCACGACAGCCCCCCCCTTACGGATACCAGCCAACAAGCGGCTCACTAAGCGCCGGGTCTGCTTCCGTCTCTCCCGTCTCTCCCATCTTCTCTCCCCCCTTCTCTCCCATTTCTGTCTGACCCCCCCCAGCAACTGTCCACCAGAAAAGGGACAGCCAAGCCAAACCCAAAGCAACGAAACAGACTTGCCCGTCCGGGCGCCAGACAACACCTCCACGTATCGCAGTCAACAGGTGTGTCCCCTTTACCCAACAGCAACCTGGCCAAGACCGCCGATTCCGATCGCGCCAGCCGACTAGCCTAAAGCACCAACGCCATGACCTGCCAACCCACTCAGACATGCCCAAAGCCCCATGGCGCCAGGGGGAGCCATTGTCTCTCTTTTCTTTTTTGTTGTTGTTTGCTTTCTTCTTCCCTCTTCCAGTCATCACACCAACACCACGACGGCCATGGCAATTGGTATTGACTGTTGTGCTAGAATTAGCTGCCTCCAAGATACTCGCAGCAAGCCCGTTCCCGCTGCAGACAAAGCACGGCTTCTCATCGCACCACTTGACTCGCCGTCTGCCGTCCAAACTCCGCGCAACAAGGCTGCGGCACCTCTGATGTCATCCACCCCCGCGCCAAGAGCCCATTCGTCTCAGTCTCCCACTCTGTTTTCCTCGTCAGCTCTTGGCGGTCGTTCCTTCATGCTCCTGCCTCGCGTCCGGTGATGCGGCGCGCCGCGTGTCCGTCCATGAAACACCCGTCTACTTCTCTTTCTAAACTCCACCCCGAACAGTCCGCCCAAGTGGATCGTGTGCCAGGCTTTTTCAAGTCACCGTCTCTCTTGCCAGTACTCCGTACCTACAGATTAGCACCATGCTCATCGTAGCCACGCATTGGTCATCTTTCACCGCACCTGTGTATCACCAGGCACGTCACCTCATCGGCCGAGTTGCCATTCATCATCAACATCCCAGGGCCCCATGGACGGGCAGACAGTTGAAACGTCATCAAACAAACATTGGATTACTGGTCTTTCATTTTGGTTCTGCTCACTATATGCTCTCAGCAACTGTCGGACGTGCCAACCCAGCTGGCTGTGCCCGTGAGCAACATGTCCTCAGTTCTCCCTCTGTCCTCTGTGCGCTTGTCTCCAACCGAGCCAGCGTGGGCGACGGTGAGCTATTTCTAACATAAAAACAACATCTCCAAACGCCGTGCCGCCGAGTTATGCGAGATCCACCTCGAGCCAAACTGTCTGCGAGATTCATCACAATCTCAGCCCTTCCATAATTACACCCTTTCGAAAACAGAAAGGAAAAAGGGCAGACACGTGAACATGTCTTGCCTCAGTGGCGCCGCGCTGCACCGTAAACGCCATTTCCGGCACGCCGTTTTCCTGGCCACCCCGTCATGACCTTCTAGGCTGGGGCTTTGGATTCGGGCGCTCGGACGGCCGTCTGCTTCTTCTTCTTCTTCCCGGAGGCCTGCGCACTGGGAGGAGGCGATGTCTGCTGCGACGAGCTGGTCCCTGCCGCGTTGCCTGCGCTGTCTTTGCCCCTCTTGCCCTTCTTCACGTCCTTGCCGACCGGTGCGGCCACGGCGGGCAGAGGGATCGGGACCGGCGAAACTTTGGGCTGCTGCGAAGAGCTTGGAATCGGGGGGATTGGCACGGCTGTCTGGCGAGGAATGGGTACCGGGGTATCCTTCTTGACCGGCGGCAGTGACTGCGAGCTCGAGGGCACCGGTTGTTCGCCCTTGGCCTTCCTCGACTTCTTGGCCTTGCCCGTCAAGGGGGACGAGGCGGCCGCTGGCGCTGACCCGAGGCCAGAGAGCGAGTACGTTGGGGCCGGGATAGTAGGCGGCATCACGGGCGTCTGCTTCGCCTTGCTCGTGGCAGACAGGGGCGGTTCAGAGCCGAGGTCTGGGCTCCCGTCGCGAGCCGTCTTGGGCTTCTTAGTTTTGGACTCTGCCGTCTGGCTCTCCTCCATTAGCTGCGAGGCTGCAGCGGCTGCCTCGTCTTCGGAAGATGGCTGCTTTCGCTTGCCACTGCGCGGGACTGCGGCCTGCTGGCTCGCCTCGACTGCGGCCTCTTTGCGTTTGCCTTTCTTGCTCTTGGGAGTCGGCTTGTCTGACTGGGCCTTGGGGGTTGACATGTCCGGCGGAACCTGGGGGGCCGTAGGAAGGGCGGGGGCATCCGCCATCTCGCAATCCTCGCCGCCTGAGCCGCTGTCCATGCCAATCTTGCCCATGGGAGTGTCGACGCCAATCGGCTTGAAGCGCGCCTTGAGGCCCTTTGGCTGGGGACGAGGAGCATTGTTCTCCGAGGGTCCGACTGTAGAGCCATCGGCACCCAGCTGCGTGATGCGCCTGACCTGCATGATCTGATCGATCTGCTGTGAAGCTGTGCGATTGGTTAGCCAACTCGGCAGTCCCCAAAGACGTCGTGTCATGGGACTGGACTTGCCTGCTTGGTAGTGGGATCCATCTGCCGACGGAATCATAATCTGGATAGAGCTCTTTGGTGCCATGTTGTCGAATGAGATGCCAAAGTCCTGTCCGCCATGGGTAAAGGCACGGTCTCCGCGCTGCGAAGCGTCCATAGGGATCTCGATGTTCTGCACCACAGAGATGGGCACTCCGGAGGGAACCGTAAAGTACCAGAACTGCTTGCCCTGCATGCTGGCCTGGCTGCAGATGCGAGCCACATCTTGGCCGCTGGTGCCGTCACCGCTCTTGCGCAGGACAAAATCCGGCGAGATGACGCTAGGAGGGGCAATTTGGCCTCCGGGCTGGCGATCCTCCATGTGAATCGACTCGTCGGCCATTTCCTGGTCAGACTCGGCGGAGCTCGCAGGGGATCTCGAAGGGGACGAGCCGGTCTGCTTCGGGGCAGGCTTGGCGGGCTTGCCATCCTTGCTTTCGCTCTCGTCACTGGAGTTGTCTTCTTCACTAGAGCTGGACGATTGGGGGCTGTTGCCGTTGACGACTGGCTTGGTTTTGGCGGATGTTTCGCCTGCGTCGCTCTCCGGCTCACTTTCGTCGCTGTCGCTGTCGCTGGTCTCCGAATCGGAAGTGGATTCAGATTGTTTCGCGACGGCGGGCTTTTCCGCGTTGCCAGTTTCATTCTCATCGCTCGAGTCGGAGTCGGAGGTGGAGTCGGAAGAAGAGGGAGCCTTCTTGGCAGTAACCCCATTGGCATTCGCCTTGGGCTTCGGGCTTTCGTCCGACTCGGAGTCGCTGGTGGAGTCATCCGAAGAGTCGGGGTCAGGCTTGACGAGCTTGGCCCTGTTGTTTCGCTCGGCATCACTGTCGGCTATCTCTAGCTTGTTGCTGGGACGCTTGGACGCGGCGGCAGCCTTTGTGGCAGGTTGAGAGAGCTTTCTGAGAAAGTCGGCACCGCCCTCGTCACCGCTGCTGTCGCTGTCACTCGAATCATCGTCACTATCGTCGTCATCTCCGAAGATGGACTTGTTGATAGCTCCAGGCTCCTGCTTGATGGCGGGCGCAGGTCGGCCGAGGGGCCGTCGGTTATACTGGGCGTCTGCGCTGAGGCCCCTGTTGGTGTTTTCAATGTGCTTGCTGAGCGAATGCACCTTGAAGGGCTCCTTGGGCGCCATGGCGAGAGTTGCTCAAGGTGTGCTTCTGAGGCTCGGGGTTTGGCTAGCCTCGACGAGCAAAAGCAAGGCGAGGGAGGGAGGTGATGTGGCTGTCGAAACTTTTTTTTGGGCGTGTGGAAATTTTAATGATTTCAGCCGAGTTGGCGAGGCCCACCAAAAACGCGCTCGCGTGCGGCATCAACGCGCCGCTGGCAACTCTCCCCTGTAAAAATTCTTCTCTTCTGCGGGCTGTTAGCAGCCTGTTAGTGGATAATTATTTTCAGGTCACCCGACCATGCTTCTGCCTCTCTAGCCCTAACGGGGCTCTAGCAAGCACCAAAAGGCAGACTTTGGAGAGTTCGTCTCCTCTTGGGAAGCTGGTCTCGAATAACGGCATGCCTCACGCTGCCTCGCCTTCTGCCGCCTTTACTGGCTGGCCTCGACTTCTGCCGCATCGCGGCCCCGACCTTTTCTGCCGCCTCGCGGCCCGACTTCTTCTCGCCCTTCCTGGCACGCCTCGCGCTGCCTCGCACCCTCTGCCGCCTTTACCGGCTGGCCTCGCCTTCTGCCGCCTTGCGGCCCTGACTCCTTCTGCCGTCTCGCGGCCCCGACCTTTGCTGCCTTGCGGCCCTGCTGCCGCCCAGCGGCCACGACTTCCTCTGGACTGGTGGGCCGCGGGGGCCCCGAGGAGCTACAAGAGCCTAGAGCTCAAGGCCTCACCCGGGTGCCCCCCGGAGCTGCACACCAATCGACAACACCTCCACCACCTGCTTGCTACGAGGAGTAGGCACGGGGACTTCGCCGACTGTCATGACCACGAAGTGGCCCCGGATCGAACGCTCCTGCGGGAGAAGACAATCGCCATCGGGGCGAACCCCCGACTAACATTGCTACACTCTCTGCTCCCTTTTTCTTTTCTTTTTCTTTCTGCCCCGTAGGCCCTCCTCGAGGGGGCTTGCGGCCGGCCCATGACTTCGTGGGCTTTCTCAGTCACCCGGCCTCGGCCAAAGACTGACTACTATTACGGCTTCACTGCCGTGCCTGGAACCCGCTGACGGGGGAAGGGCCCCGGATTTCCGACCGGCCTCAGAGCCTCAGAATTGCTAGATGGAGTGGTTAGGTGCTACACACGGTCCTTAGTCCAGGTACTCGGGATATTCTATGTATCTAGTCTTCTCTAGCCTAGCACGTCTTTTGCCCTTATAGGGATGTCCCAGACGGTAATCAATACTACTACTACTACTACTACAACGCGCCGCTGGCAGCTGCAGCCCAGGGCCGGGAGGGGAAGGAGGAGGAAAAAAGATTCGCATATCTTATCGATAAGCACCGAATCACTATCGAACAGCTTCGCCCTGCACGTCGATATAGCCTCATCTGTTGACGGAAATCCACTGAAGACGGACTTCGGTCCCCGCAAGCCATTCCCTCTTTGACCCGGCTGCTGACAATGCCGTCGTCGCCCAACAAGAGGCGAAAAATAGACGCCCCCGGCACCCCCCAGTGTAGGTTGTTGACTTGCGCTCACCCTTGCTCCATCGCCCGGCACTCACTCACTCATCCCAATTCGTCAGCCGCTGTGAGCGCCATAAGTGCACTGGCAGCCCGCCGGCGACTCACGGCGTCTGCGTCGGCCGACTCTTCCGCCCCGGCGGAATCAGCCTCTCCCCAGGGCTCGTCCAACCCGTTTAGTCCGCTACAGCAGAAGCGTGAGCCCGTCAAGTCGGCCAAGAGGGCTGGCTCGAGGGTTCCAGCAGGCCAGCAAGGCCGTGACCAAGGATCGAGGTTGGTCTCCGCGCCCATCTTCACCTCGTCCATGCTCGCGCCTGACCTGTTTGGCCCAGCACGGATCCTGAGACGGCCACATCCAGGTCGACTTCTCGACCCGTCACTTATTCCTCCTTCTCCCTGTCCAAGCACAATCACCATGTCAACGGCCAAGGCGTACTCAAGCTTAGGCTTGAAGATGTCGAGGTAGGATGCTGGAACTTCTCTCCACCATGCTTTTCCTCCCGCTCACTCGTTCAGCGCTTTCTTCTTGTTGGGAGTTTCGGAATCCGCGTGTCCACAGGAGAGGTGACAGTCGCCGGCGCCTCGCTTCTGCCCTCGGACAAGATATACTGGGTTTATGCGCCCCATTGTCACGCGGTTCCCGTCTTGAGAACTGCAGAAAACACTCACGTTGAGCTGCACAATGATCCCGAGGCCGACAACCTGAGAAAGCTAGGCAGCCTGTCACCCTTATTCCAAAGGCTGTGGAACCAAGCCGCAACGGCTGACGCGGATAAAAAACGGGCAAAAGGTCCGTCAACCTTTCAACTGGTTGGTGTTTCCCTCTATCGGGCTCCCGTACTCCCTTGCTGACACTCGATAGCTCGGGGACTCGGGAGACGTCCCCAGGGTGTCTATTGTGCGAGAACTCGTCTGTCCTCCGAAGTGGAACAAGAAGCTGGCATCCCTGGTAGAGTCCGTCTCTGGGCGGGAGCCCTTGTCCATTATAATTTGCGGCCCCAAGTCGGCCGGAAAGTCGACATTTTCCAAGCTCCTTACAAACCGACTGTTGACCACCACAAACGCAGGCCCGGACGGCTCATTCCGGCCGATTACAACGGGCGTGGCCGTCCTGGATCTCGACCCGGGACAGCCAGAATATGCTCCACCAGGCACGGTGTCGCTCGTCCATGTCACCCAGCCCAACCTGGGCGTGCCGTTTACGCACCCGAGTCTCGACGACGAAGCCGCCCAGGTGGTGAGGTGCCACGCGCTGGCCTCGGTCAACCCAGCCTCGACGACCGACCTCCACTTGGAGTGTGCTCTAGATCTTTATGGCTACTACCACCGCAAACTCCGCAACTGCCCCCTGGTAATCAACACCCCTGGATGGATTCTCAGCTTGGGCTTGGAGCTTCTCGTCGAGATAATCGTCAAGGTACGCCCTGGCGAAGTTATCTACATGTCAGAAGAGGGGCCCGCAGAGACGGTTGAGGCCTTGCGCAACGCTACCAAGAACACGTTTACCTCATTGCCGTCACAACCGTCCGATTTAAAGTCGCGTACTGCTGCGCATTTTCGAGAGATGCAGACCATGTCCTACTTTCACTCTTCGACAAGGCATGGCTCCGAGGACAAGAGGCGACTGAGTTGGGTCCCTCACGCCCTTACGTATGTACGTCCCTTGGTGGTGCGTTACGTGGGCCCATCCTGCGGGTTTCTCGGCGTACTGCGATACGACTCCCAGCTACCGCCGGACCTGATGGGCGAGGCAATCAACGGCATGGTGCTTGCCATTGTCGAGATTGAGGAGCGCCAGGCGTTTCGACAAGGTTTCCAAGAGGCTACATCTGGCTCCCTCGACTGTGACGGTGGCGCCACGCCTCAACCATCCATCTCTAGGACGCCCGAAGGCATACCTTTTATCCCCAACCCCGACGACCTAACCCTTGATCCACGACACTCGCGCACAATCGGTCTCGCCTTAGTGCGTGGTATCGACACAGCCAACAAGTCGCTCCAGATACTCACGCCGACGCCTCCTGAGAAGATTAGCGAGGCAAGAGCCCGGGGAAGCAGCATCGTCCTGGTACACGGCAAGTTCGACACGCCTTTTTGGTCGTACACAGAGCACCTGTATGAGCAGTCCGGCCAGGGCGACGAGCCCGAGGGAGAAGTCGAGGTGACGGACGAAGACACCGACAAGAGCTCGGTCGACGAACCGGCCCATGCCTTGGACGGGGGAGACGACACGGCCATGCCGTGGGTGGAGGTTCTCAGGGGCAACCAGAAACGTCCAGTCGGTTCAAAGGTGTGGAGGGTGCGGCGAGACCTTGGCCGAAATGCTGGTGGTGTCTAAGTGGCGCTCTGTGCCGCCTCCGCTATTGCATGTTTCGACAGCCAATTGGTTGCGGGAGCTGCGTCATGTGAGGTTACACGACCGCAGATAGTTGCTGCAGTTGTATGAGACCGCAGGAGATTCCTCCTAGAGGCAGGTAAGCATGCCTGTGATAACTCAAAGTGGCTCGTTGTATCCCTTGATTTGGCCGGCGATGACTGGCAGAGCAATAGCTCTGGAGGATCTGGGGAACACGACATACATAAATACAAGGGCATCCCCAGTCCCGCCAAGATGGCTCACAAGTGATTTTGCTCCCCCTCCTGGAACAGCTTGTGGTTGAAAGATGACTTCGAATATGACGGCGACCTCGGCGTCGCACAAATCCCATGTCGACATTGTCGGAGCCGGGTCGGCGGGCCTGATGCTGGCGTTGTGGATGGCACGGCTGGGCATCAAAACGCGCGACGTGGACAAGCGGACGGACAAGGTCTCTTCTGGCCAGGCCGACGGGCAAGGTCTGCTGCGTGTGCCGCCGTGTCCTGCTGTGGCTGATGGGGGAGCTTCCAAGTGCGGACGTTGGAGATACTGGACGGCTTCGGCATCGGCGAATGCGAGTGGGAGGAGGCCAACCACATGATTGGTATGCACCAGCCCTCGGGGGAGGAAGTTGGGGAGAAGGGTGCTACTGGTCACGGTGCTACGATGAGTTCTGACGCAGAGACTCGCGAGAGGTCAGTTTCTGGAACCCCAACGAGAACGGCAAGATCCGGCGCGACGTGCGCATGCCGAACTCGACATCGGGGCTCTCGCGATTCACTCAATGCGTCGTCCGCCAGGGCCGAATGGAAAACGTCTCTGCTCGACGCCATCCGCGCCTTGAAGCCATGACCAGCGGACCCGCAAGTCCGCATCGAGCGCCAGACGATGCTGACGGCTCTCGCCATGGACGAAGGCCTTGCCTACGACGAAGACGCATACCCCATAGAGGTGACACTGCGTCACCTAACCGAGGAGGCCACGCCCGCGCAGCGGCTGAGCAACGTCGGGGATGGGCTGCACAGGAGCACCCTCGCCGACGACACGGGCAATATCCTGGAGCGAAGCGCTCTGGGGACGGAACAGCGGCTGGAGGAGAAAGACGAGCAGGTCCGGGCCAGGTTCCTGGTCGGCTGCGACGGCGCGCACTCGTGAGTCCGGAATACGCTTGGCGATGAATTCGAGATGGTGGGAGAGACGACCGATGCCATCTGTAAGTCAGTCGAGCCACGTCCCCGTGAGACGGGAGATTTCGTATTGGACGCCCTGCCTGCTGACAGTCGGAATCTCTTGAGTGGCGGCCAGGGGCGTGCTCGACGTTGTGCCAATTACGGACTTCCGTAGGTGAGACCTGCATCGTATGACGACAGAGGCAGAACTGTTGACCCGGGACCGCGCAGCCGACATCAGAAACCGCTGCATGGTGCGCACAGCCGGGTCGGGGACCATCACGGCCAGTCCCCGTGAGAAACTGGCTCGTGAAGCAGTATATGCAGCTCGGGGCCACCCTATCCTGCGGGCGTGTGGACCGAGACAGGTCACCCTGGAGGCCATCCTCGAGGCTACGCAGAAGATCCCGAGCCCGTACAGTACACGATCAGCTATCACTGCACTTACTGGTACTCTACATGCCCATGCTGCTTCGCTCGGGAGACAACATGCTGACGACCGTCGCTTGCATATGCATCATGTAGGTGGACGGCTTACCGGATCGGCTAACGTTGCGGGAAGCGTTTCAGCAAAGCTTGACCGCATATTCCTCGCAGGCGGCCCGTCACCGTTTCTTGTCTCTCTCAACTGCTTTCCAAAGATAGGGGCTCCGCTGACCCGACCCGGCCATCCTATGCGGTGTACACGCACCCGCCCAAGGCCGGCCTGGGGATGAACACGTCCACGCAGGACACATACAGCCTCGGCTGGAAGCTGGGTCTTGTGTGCAACAAGGTGGCGCGGCGCGGCGTGCTGTCTACGTACGAGCTCGAGCGGCGGCAGGTTGCCGAGCAGCTCGTTGCCTTTGACCAGCAGTTTGCCAGCATGTGTACGGGGCGGCATGGACGATGAAGGGGGCTTAGGAGGCGTTCCGGATGAGCCAGATGGTACAGTAAGTTGTCTTGTCGACACTGGGTCGAGTCTGCAGGTGCATAACGTACATACTTGCCCACCTACGTCTGCCGTCTTTTTCTTGCCGTCTTTTTCTCCGCTGTTCTCTCCTTCTCTACAGTACGATGCCGGCCACAGCCCAGGCGAGGGCCACAAAAGCAACCGAGGATAGGAATGAAAAAGAAATGCAGAACCGGCGGGGCTGACGACGGCAGAACGGGATGCAGACCCCTCTGCACGGGGCTTAGTTCACGACCGGGGTGGGCATACGCTATAAGCCAACCATGTGCTCGTCTCGACAGCCGATGACAAGCAGTGCGACCCAGGGCCGGCGGCCAACTGCAAGCCCGGCACTCGCTTTGCCTCGCACAAGGTGCTGAACCAGGCGGACCCGCGGCCGTGGGAGCTCCACCACCTCATGCCGTCAGACGGGCGGTTCCGCGTCGGCGACGTTTCGCGCCATGGTCAGCTCGTCAACGGGCTCGGGGGGTGGCTGACGACGGAGTTGCTGCTCCGGCACCCGCGCATGGTGTTGAGTCCCGGGGCCGGTGCCGGCTGGGGCCAGAGGGTGAAAACCGCGCAGGGGGCGGAAGCCGGGCTCATTGAGGTGCTGCTAGTGTACGCAGCGAGGCGCGAGGAGATTGAGCTGCTGACGGACCTGCACGAGCTGTACCACCCGTGGGACGCGAAGCTGGGGTGGTACTATGACAAAACGTTTATCGACGGGCCCAGCTACCACGAGGACCACGGCAGGGCGTGCGAGGGCTACGGCGTGGATGCCGACGGGGGTGTGTGCCGCGGTGGTGGTTCGTCCGGACGGATACGTTGGCCTGGTGATCTCGCTCGACGACGGGGGAGATGGTTCGACGCCGTGTTACGGAGGAAGAGGTGCTCATGAGGAGAGGGGGGGAAAGAAAGGGGGAGGGGGGAAGGGGGCTGGGATGGTTGGCTGGCTGGCCCAACTTGTTGGTCGTTTTCTTTCTTTTTTTCTTTTTCTCATCATGGCTCGAGCGCTTGGGTGCTTGCAGGATGCTTTGCAAGATTTGCTGTTGTGTATGTGTGCGGAGTATCCGTACGGAGTACAGTGTGCTGTTGTGTGTGTCTCAGGGCCACGTCGGTCGAGTTAAGCAGTGATGAGGTAACTACAGGCTATCTGGTCTGCGAGGGAAAGAAATAGGCAAAGGAAGAAAAAAAGCAAGAGGCTGTGCATTTCCTCGCATACAGTACATGTCCGTACTGTCTGCTGTCAAGGCCGTTTCAAGGCCCTGTCCAGCGGGACCGACGACGTGACAGGCGCGGCGCCGTTGTGACATGGGGCGGCTATTTGCTGGACCTTGCTCCACCCTCATCAAGGCGTTTCTTGTTTGTACTGGGCGAAGAGACTAGTAACTGCATGTCGGTTGCGTCGTGGCACGCTGCGACACCGGGTAGCTGGGCGTGTAACACGACAGGATCGACGGCTTACCACCCAGCTCGGGAGGCGGGCGGGCAACATTTGAGTGTATCAGTGTATGTGCGTTCAGGAGACATACGAGCACTCGGTCTACATCCCTACAGTCGGTATCCGTATACTCGGTGCAGAGCACAGGCACCCGGTGTTGGCGTTGTTGGAATTGAGAGAAAACATGCAAGGCCATGGAGGTGGAGCAGAGACAGGGGAGGGGGGCAGGAAAAAACGGTCGACGGCGTGGAGGGATTGTGACTGATCGGATTCTGTCGACGGAGAAAAGCAAGCTATCTTGGATGAGTAAAGAGGCCAAGCAAGGCAGAGAGAGAGGAGAGGGATGTAGTTTAATATCCTTCCCCGCAAATCGGAGACGGCAAATGGCTCGATCCAACGGCCGTGCAGAATCGTGGGCCGCATGTACGTACCAAGTATGCACACACACACACTCGCACGCACACACACGCACGCACACACACGCACATACACACATGCGTGCGTGCGCACCGTACCGTACTGTGCAGTGCAGTACGTGCAAGAGGCTATTTGTCATATATGACAGACAGGGCTTTTTTGCTGTCGCGGATTCTTTCTTCTTTTGCCTGGGGTTCAGACGGCAGCAGTATGGAGAGACAAACGCTCTACTAAAACAGAGCATGCGCGATGTCCCGTGTACAGTAGGTACGTATTTATCCCTCTTCCCCCCCCCGCCTACCGCCTAAACGGTTGCCCGGGGCGGGGCGGGATTGCCTCGGGACGGGTCATCGATACAAGGCATCACACGTTGTCGCGCGAGACAAGCAGGTACTGTACTTACCTGCGGGGCGAGCGGAGCCAACCGCCGGCCCGTATGCGGTTGACAGGCCCGGAGGGCGGCATCAACCGCCCATTGGCTACCCGCGGGGAGCTAGAAGAGAAGACATGGATCGACCCGGCAAGACGAAGAGGCGCTAAAACAAACCACCACCACTGGTCTCTGTACTGTAGATGCGCACAAAGAGATGATCTTGCGCATGTGTGATACGTAGGTGTACGATGACACAGTGACGGCGCACTGTGTTGCCTGCATGACCGGGGACGATTGACAGCTGGCAGGACTAGGATGGACAATCGGCGCTCTGGTTCTCGGCTGACGGTACCCTTAGCCTTGCAACCTTGGCACCACCCTTGCACCCTTGGCACCCTTCCCTGGCAAATGCAGCATGCATTTCATTGGCCCCGGGAGCCCGGTTCCGTGCCAGGGCTCTCTCGTCCGTGTCGCTGGCCCGACTGCGTACGCACCGCAAAGTCGTTCAGAGCTTTCGAAACTTGCCATTGTACTGTATGCGGCTGTGCAAAGCAAGAAGAAAACAAGAACAGCCCTACAGTGCAGGGAGCCAAGGGCTGTGCTCGTGCTATCCATGCAACAGCCCTACAGTGCTCAAAGTGCACTGTGCCCGTACCCTACATACAAGTACCTCGCTGTGCAATATTCCGTCGTCATCTCTCTCCTCTCCTGTCTGGGCAAAGGCCTCGAACGGCTTATTGCGCGCCGTTTGGCGTGGGCATCCGTCCACTATGGTGTCTTGCACCCACAACAAGCTGGCGCATTGCCGAAAAGGTCCGCTGTTGACCTTGTCGCCGCATTGGTACACGACATCGAGGAGGCTTTCTCGCGCAAGCAGGTCGCCACACTCGTGACAATGGACGTCGAAGGCGCCTTCGACACTGTCCTTCGTAGCAGGCTCATTCTTCGCCTTCGGCAGCAAGGATGGCCTCGGAATGTCGCTCGTTGGGCTGGCCTTTATGCATGACCGAGCAGCACGTGTCCGCTACCAGGATGTCATGACACCTCGTCACCCTTGCAGTGCGGACTGCCGCAAGGATCGCCAGCTTCTCCCATACTTTTCCTACTATACACAGAGCCAATCTACCGCCTGAGCAACCCCAAGGGGCGCTTCGGCTATGCAGACGACACTGCCGTCCTTTGCGTCGGAGACTCCCTGGAGGAGACTGCCCACAGAGCGTCGAAACATGTTCACGAACTCATGACATGGGGCACCGCGAACGCGATAACCTTCGACCCCAAGAAGACTGAAGTCATGCACTTCTCCCGAACTACACCGAGGAATGCACCTCCAGTCTTCCATGGCGAGGTAGAAAAGCGGCCAGGCTCAGCCATGCGGTGGCTCGGCATCTGGCTTGACAGCACCCTGACGTTCAAGACGCACGTCGAGAAGTGGACTGCCAAAGCGCAAGCAGTGGCCTACCATCTCAAGGGTTTGACAATACCAACCGCGGCCCCTACCAGGTGCGGTCCGAGAGCCGTCCGCGCCTGCATCGAGCCGCAATTGTTCTTTGGGGCAGAGGCGTGGTACCCGGGCATGACCTGCCCGCGATGGAATAAGCCGGCAAAGGAAGGGCCATCAAGAATACGGCACCTCATCCGGCGGATGGACAAGTCGCTCAACACGGCCATGCGAGCCATCCTCCCGGTCTGGAAGACGACGCCGCTCAGCGCCAGGCACCGGAGGCGGGCATACCGCCAGTTTCGCACCTGCTCCAGGCGTGTCGAACGCGCTTCGCAGCCCGTCTCAAGTCCTCGACGAAGCGCACCCGCTTGCGGTGCGAACGAAGCCGATCCGGGCCCCTGTCATCAACAGGGCCATTAAGTTAAAATACCAGCGTCCACGACAACCTTTCCGGACCAGACTGCGTCGCACTGACGAGCTGCTCCCAAGGTGCGCCAGGCCAGACCTTCTCGCACGTAGGTTCGCCAGCGACCAGCGTGGACCTTGCAAACTGCGCCGAAAGAAGAATCGGCGGCAAACTTCGGCGAGTGGCTCCAATCAGTTGCTCCACGGACAGCAATCGTCTACTCGGACGGATCCCTCTCCCGGAGGAGCCGCGGGTACGGCTATGCGGTACATCAGGATGGACTCACCGTCCTCAGCGGTAACGGCCGTCTTGGGCTTGCTGAGGTCTTTGATGCCGAGGCGAGAGGCTCCCAGAGGGTCTGCGTGCTGCGTTGAGCCTCCCGGCTGCAGACCAGATTGTCGTATGCCTCGATAACCTCGCGGTCGCGACGTGTCTTCAAGGCATGCCGTCAGATTCCTCCCAGAAGGAGTTCCTGGAATTCCAGGCCTTGGCCGCAGAACATGGTGCCACTGAGATCCGCTGGATCCCCGGCCACACCAACATCCCAGGTAACGAGCAGGCAGACGCCTTAGCAAAGGCAGGAACCTCTCAACCCGAGCCTGCAGACGCTCTCCCGACGCTGGCATATCTGCGCAAGGTCGCTAGGCAGCGACCAAAAGACGCATTCAAAGCCTGGTGGGAAGTTTCTGCACCCCAACAGTACAGGGTCCTCGACCTCGATGCCACGACTGGCTGCCCGCCAGAACTTACCATTCCACGACCTCTGCTCCACCATCTGCTCGCAGCAAGAACCCACCACGGGGACTTCGCTGATTACCACGAAAGGTTGAACCACGACGATGCGCGACTGACGTGCTCATGTGGTCGACGAAAAGAACCAAAGCATCTCTTCTATTGCCGGAAGATCGCGCCGCGACATCGGATGAGGTTGGCACCTCACCGAGCGCGGCGGTCAACCGAGCAATAGGCAGAGACTTCGACCAGTTCGTCAAGGTGGCGAAGGCAAGCTCGTTCTTTGGAACGATCTGCCCTCGCCACTAGGCGGCAGCAACCGCTTTCCTCCTTCCTTCCCTTTGTTTGCACACACACCCATTTTCTCTTACCCGACTCGGCCGGGCGGAGGGTGCTCTCCGGAACCGGCCCTGTGAGGCCAAAACGAAAGACATGGCTGTCGCGCCTGAACGTCCCGCTGACGGGCAGCAGGCTGAGCAAAGAAGCGCCTTTGAGCCGATGAAATGCTGAATGGTGGATTGTTTACGTTCTGTGGAAGGGCAGAAGACGCGGATTGGTACTCGTTTCGTTTCGCGTATTGTGGGCCTACTCCGCGATAGTAGACTTCCAGCAGCTCAGCACGTCCTGTGCCCCGTCTCGGGGACCTGAGCGACCTAAAGGTCGCTGGACGGAAAATACAATAATAATAATAATAATAATATTCCGTCGTCGGTGACTTGACGCGCCGTCCCTTCTTGACCCCCCCCCCCCAATGTCCACCGCTCTCTCAAAGCCTCTCTCCCCATCCATCCATCAACCCCCGCCGGCCTCCTCTCCTTCACCGAGCCTCGTTGCTCCATGATTTGCGCCTCGCCCTCGTGCGCGCCCGTCAGCGTCAGACCAAAGGACATCATCACCACCGTCTGAGTCGAAGCCATGGGCGGCAGCCCCGAGGACAATGCACACAGCCGCTCCGCCTGCACCGAGTGCCAGCGCCGCAAGCAAAAGGTAGCCAGCCTCTCTCTCCAACATCGTCTTTGCATCCTCGCCATGGTCGTCTTCTCCAGCCAACGCCTCGCTCACCTCAAACCTCCAGTGCAACCGCGTTTGGCCTTGCAACCACTGCCAGAAGCGCAAGGTCGCCGACAAGTGCCGCTTCACCAACAACCAGCCCACTCCCGACAAGGGCGCCGGCCAGGACACGGGCCGCAAACGCCAATTGAGCCATGATGACTTGACCGACTCGAGCGATACTAACCCCTGGGATGACGGCGAGAGCGGCTTCGAGGCCCTCGGCTACACCCCCGCTCACCTCTTTTCTGGCCTCGCCACCGAGGTAAGGCCTCGCACATGATGTCGCCACCTCTGCTTGTCTGACACCAGCCTTCTCCAGCGGAGGGTCAGCACGACTGCCAGGCAGCAAAGGCAGTTCGAAATGGACTCGGACTCGTGCCCTCAGCTCCACCGAACCCTCCAAGTTCTGCCTCCTCGACCCTACACAGGTGAGAGCCCGCCTTCCCCCCTCCTCCCCCTCTCACCGGCCAATCTTTGTCAAGCCGACTGACACGTCCAGACTCTCTCGTTCAAAACTTCTTGGACAATGTCAATTACCACTACTACATCATCTACCCTACTTCTTTCCTGGAAGACTACCGCAATTGGTGGGCTGCGAGGTCGGCCAACAAGCCCCTCGGCCTTCAGTGGACTTGTCTCCTTCTCATGGTCTGCGCCTGCTCTGCCCAGTACACCGACGTCGAGCTGCAGCGCAAGCTCGAGCACGACATGGGCGAGACGACACAGACGCTCACGGAAAAGTACCACAATGCCGCCCGCGAGTTGCACAGCGTCATCCCCGTCGGCAACAACCACATCTTGAACGTCCAGTCCCTGCTGCACTCCTGCTACTGGTACAAGTCCGAGGCCCGCTTCGTCGAGTGCTGGCACGTCCTCAGCACCGCCATCAGAGAGGCGCAGGAGCTGGGTCAGTGCCCTCCCCCAGCCCCCCTCTCGCTCCGTCTCGGCGCTGACCGTCACCAGGCATCCATCAAGAGCCCGTCTCTGGGCCCATGTCCGAGTTTGAGCGCGAGATGCGCAGGAGAATCTGGTGCATCCTCGACACTTGGGATTGGTACGTTGTCCCCCGAGCGCCAACTCACCCGGCAGCTTCTGACCTCTCTCCCAAGGCAAATCTCGGCCCTGCTGTCCCGCCCAATGATCATCGATCGTTCTGACTGCCAAGTCGGCCTGCCCAGCCTCAAGCTTGAGGGCTACTCGCCGTCGCCTCTGATGCACATGAAGCTGCAGTCGGAACTCATCACCCAACTGTCTCGTCGCTTCGGGCTTCCCAAACACGTCGCCAGCCCCTCCGACGTCAGGGATTACCAGGCCATCATTGAAACGTGGATGAGCAGCTTCCCCCCAAGCTACGCTCTCAACAACCCCGACCACAGTGCCGACTTGCAGCGGCCGTGGATCGTCCTGCACCGGCACTACCTCCACACCATGTCCTTTTCGATGCTGCTCGACCCCATTCGCGCGTACCTGGCGAAGCCGATGACGGCGAGCTCACCCCCGGACGAACTGAGGATCCGCAGCGACGGCATCAACTATTGCCTGAGGCTCATGAGCGCCCTCTACGGCTTCTTCGACCACGTGTACCCGAGGGACGCCAAGTTTCACTTTGTGCTGTTTTGCATCTTCGACACCGCCGCTGTCCTCTGCTCGGCCCTCATGCACGACGAGGACGGTAGCACCCCTCGGCGCGACGACATCCTCGGCGCCATTGACGGAGCGGTCGCGATGCTGAAGCGCCTCAACAACGCCACGAAAACGGCCAAGACATCGTACGACATCCTCCTCCGCGTCTCCCAGCGAGTGACGAGGCCCGCTGCGACGGCGCCGCCCCATTTCCCCTCGGGCAAGGGGCGTCAGAGGAAGACACCCAGGGTGGGGGGGCTGGCCACGACGCCGCCGTGCGGGCGCCAAGTCGAGTTGGCCGTAGCCAGCGACGCAGGCTCCGTCGAGTCATACGTCTCGTACAACAGCATGCCGTCCCAGAGCGGCATCCTCGTGTCTCACACACCCAGCCCCCACTCGATGTCGCCCGTCGACCGCAAGTACTATGGCGGAGCGGTCGTCTGCCCGACGGCGTCGCCACCTGGCGGCATGAGCGTCGACGGGTCCGTGGCTCTGTCGACGTCTCCCGTCGACCACATGAGCGCGCACGGGTATGGTCACTCAACACCCTATCTCAACATGACGCCACCCATGGAGGATGTGTACCAACCAGTCGAGTTTGGCAACATAACCCAGCAGGAGCTGGGGGACCTGGCTTCATTGTGGAACTACGAGAGCCTCAACTTGTATTTTATCGCCCCGCAGCCCTAGGCCATCTCGTGCGGAGGCTCTGGTCACTGCACCACCATTTGACCATGAGGCGGATGTTTGCGGGCGAGAAGCTAACGGCTTTGGCAAGTCCTGCGCAGCTTTAAGGCGAGCAAGAGCTGTGACAAGTAATGTTGGAAACGAGCATCTACGACAACGTACTACGACGGTACCATGAACGAATCGTTTGGAGGACAGGATTGGGCATACGAGGGACAGGCAACTACTAACTAAGCAAGGGGAGGGGGGAAAAGAGGAAAAGAGCCATGGATACGGATGCCAGACTTTATTAGAAGGAACCGGCGTTCAACTTGCCGAGCACTTTATTAGAAGGCAACGGCGTTCATTTTGCCGAGCACTTTATTAGAAGGCAACGGCGTTCAGTTTGCCGGGCACTTTATTAGAAGGCAACGGCGTTCAGCTTGCCGAGCAAGGGGCACGGGCACCGCGCAAGAACTCGTCCTTGGGACACCAAGCGAGACGCATTCGTTATTTTGCTGTTCATGTTATCATGCAGGGGGCTTGACACGGCAAGGGAAGAGCATCATTATTGTTGATAGCATCGACTACAGATGGTATTTGAAATCCAGTTCCCGATCACCGGTGCGAACCTTTCGCTGGTCCCTGACGTGGCCACGGGCAATGCGGGCCTTTTGGCGGTTGCAGCGGCGCAGGTAGAGCCAGTTGAGGACGATGAAGATCTGCGACAAGCCGAGGGCGGCGACGGAGACGGAGTTGCCGAGGAGGTACGGGGGCTTGAGGTAGACTTGGCCGGCGAGGATGCCGGCCGAGTTGGCGATGCTCAACTGGACGCCGATGGCGGTGGCGCGGCGGTAATGGGGCGCGACGTTGACGTTGAGCAGGGTGAGGTTGAGGCCGGGCCCGGTGAAGACGGCGACGGCGCAGAGGAAGGTGGCGAAGAACTTGACGGGGCTGGAGGTTGAGCAGATGATGAGGAGGTAGCCGACGATGCCGGGGACGTTGGCGAGGAAGACAAAGGGCCCGCGGAGGCGCGTGCGGTCCGAGAGAAAGGCGAGGCAGAGGAAGGCGAGGCCGCCGAAGAGGTAGACGGGGATGCTCAGGTACTGGGCCTGGATGGGCGAGTAGCCCATGCTGACGATGATGGAGGGCAGGAAGGTGCTGAAGCCGTAGAGCAGCACGTCCTGGCAGAACTGGATGGCGGCGCTGAGGTAGAGCTTGGGGTCGCGCAGGGCGACGGCCACCTCGTGCCAGGCGAAGGCGTCGGCGCCCATGTAGCGGGCGCGCTGGGCGGTGCGCACGCGCATCATGGCGCGCTCGCGGGCGTCGAGGAAGTAGGCCTCGCACGGGTCGTTGGGCAGGCCGAACCAGACGACGGGGGCGACGAGGAGGCTGACGAGGCCCTCGAGCAGGAAGACCCAGCGCCAGCCCGGCAGGCCGGCGACGCCGTCCATCTTGAGGATGGAGTAGGCGAGCAGGCCGCCAAAGGCGCCGGCGACGGCGGCGCAGACGAAGAGGTAGGAGACGCGCGTGGCCTGCTCGTCGCGCTTGTAGACCATGGTCAGGTACAGGTTGAGGGCCGGGAACAGGCCGGCCTCGGTGGCGCCGAGGACGAGGCGCACGGCGTACAGGCCGGCGACGGAGCCGACGCAGGCGGTCAGCGCCGTGGCGACGGACCAGACGACGCAGAGGCCCGTGATGAGCAGGCGCGGCGTCAGGCGGCGCATCATGACGGTCCAGGGCGGCTCGAAGGCGACGTAGGTGGCGTAGAAGATGGACACGGCGATGGAGAACTGGTGCGGCGTCGCGCCGATGGCCTCGGGCATGCCGGCGACGCGCACGTTGCCGATGTTGGCGCGGTCGAGGAAGCAGCTGAGGTACAGCAGCATCATGATGGGCACGAAGAAGGCGTCGAGCTTGAGCAGCAGCCGCCGCTCTTCCCGCGGGTCCAGGGCCGTGTTTTCATCGCCGCCGGCCGCCGGGGGGAGGGCCTGGAGCCCGCGCGGTTGATCCGGACCGGAGGACGAGCCCGAGGCTTTCCGGGACACGGCGGCGGCGGCGGCGGCGGTGGTGGCTGTGGGCTGCTTCTCGTCGCCGTCCTGACCGGCGGTTGCGTGGGCCGTCTCGGGACCGTCTAAGGCGGCCATGGCTTACAGCCTTCCTCGGCCTCGTTTCCCACCGACAGAGTGGGAGGTGGACAGGAGACAGGCAGAGTATCGGTAGGCCGGGCGGGCGGCGGGATCTCGGCTTCGGCGGTGGTCGGGGAGCGGCGCCGAAAGACACAAGACGAGGCAGGCAGACAGACGAGCAAGCAGGGATGGCTCAACAAAGCCCGGAGAGCCAGCCCGGGCGAGTATATATCTGTATGTATAATATATATATCCCTCTTGTCCTGGCCAGAGTCGACGGATATATGTACATATAGTATTCGCGCCTGCCCTGCCCATCGTACGATGCCCCAAGAATGCAAGGGTTCGTGTTTAAACTTCTCCTTCTTCCTCCTCCCCCTCTTACTGCAACTCTGCATCTGCCTTGCCGGCTCTCGTCCGCGGGCTGTCTGGCTCTGGCTCGCACTCCCTCCCCTCTGGTCGGGTATATGTGCGTACACTAAATTATGTGTTTAATTTTTTTTTTCCGCAACAAGGGGGAGCGAGATGGGAAAATTAACTTTCCCATTTGCCCGTTTGGACGTATCGTAGCCCCGGTAGGGGCGCAACGTGGTGGGACAGAGTCCGAGTTTTTCCCACGTCGTGTGGAGCAGCAGCCGTGCAAGCGACGGAGGCCATTTCCGTCCTGGGGGGCCGCGGCGGCACCGTGGACGTGTCTTGGGGATGGAAAAAGCTTACATGGCGGAGGGAGGCCGAGGCGGATATGTTTAGCCGCTGGCGGCTGTGCCGGTGTATGTAAGTCGGACACTCGCTGTACGGGACAGTCAACCCCCCCCCCCCTTTACTCGCCTTCTTATCGGTGCCTCTACCTACTTGCTGCTACGGGCAGTCCCGCTGTTCTCTTACCCGAGAGAGCGGTGATGTATATAATTCTACCTTCAGACGTCGTGGCTGTGGATAAAGTCGGACAGGTGGACGCTGCCGGCGCCGTCCAAGTCCATGGTCGGGCAAGCGAAGCCCTCCTCCCAGAGGCCAAAGTCCATGCCCGTGGTGGCGCTCTCGTCGTAAAAGGGCTCGTCGAGGGCGCTGCTGTCGACGGCCGGGAAGGTCGCCAGCGCCTCGCTTACCCCGTCGGGGCCCGGGGGGTTGATGACGGAGCCTATGATCTGCCCCTGGTGCTGAGGCGGCATGGCGGTCTGCGGAAAGGGAAGCGAAGACGCCCTGTGTTGGTGGTGGGCGCCCTGAGTCGTGTTGTCGTTGTTGTCGTTGGTGCTGGTAGGCGTCTTGTTGCCGTCATGGCGGTGATGCTGGTCGTCATGGTCGGCAAGGCTGGCGTGCAGGTGGACGAGCAGCTCGTGCCGTGCGCCCATGTGGCTGTTTCCGCGCTCGCCCATGCTGCGCAGCAGGCTGAGGCCGGCGTTCATGGCCAAGCTGTTGGCCGGCGTGGTTGGGAATGCCGCGCAGACCATGACGAGCACAATGGTGGCCGAGAAGATGTGCTCGCCGTCCATGTAGCCGTACGTCGCTGGCCTTGCATCAGCGAGGCCTCACACGACTCCTCACCCATGGGAAGGGAAGAGGACAAGAAGCAACAAGACCCACCAACCATGTCCCGCTGCGAGGCAATCACCATCATGTTGACCGTGTCCTGCGCCGCGCCGACGCACATGTCAATGACCCTGGCCGTCGTGTGCGACAGGCCCTCCCTCCAGTCCCGCTGGCGCGCGCCGGGCCCGGCGGCGCGGACGGCGCGCAGGCGGCGCTGGACGATGTGGAAGAACAGCGGGCGCACCGTCATGTTGATGCAGAAGAAGTAGTGGGCGAGGGCGCCGACGCTCTCGCGGCTGAAGCGCAGGCGCGCGGGCTCGAAGCGCAGCCGGTCCGGCAGCTCGCGGTGCCAGCGCGACAGGGCCAGGACGATGCTCTGCACCGAGGCCATCAGGCTGCGGCCCGAGCGCGGCGCCGCGCGGCGGTAGATGGTGGTGTGGATGCGGCCCAGGATGCGCGACAGCTGCGTGTAGTGCCGCAGCATCACGGCCGGGCACGACGCGGCGTCGTCGGCCCCGGCCAGCGGCGCCGGCTGGTCGACGCCGATGTCGTCGTCCTGGATGGTCAGGGGGTTGCCCGACTTGGCGCACAGGATGCGGTCGAGGCTGTAGACGGACCACCACACGCGGCGCCGGTGCTCGCGCGCCGCCGCCTCGTCGGCCCCGGCCCCGGCGGCGGTGGCGGCCCCCGGGCTGACCTCCTGGTGCAGGCCGAGCGAGATGGCCATGCGCAGCGCCCTGCCGACGTACTGGAAGGCGGCGTCGCGCCGGTTCATGTTCTGCATGAAGTAGCCCGCCAGCGCCAGCGTCTCGACGCCCAGGATCGAGCCGGCCTCGTGCGACTCGGGCAGCAGGCTCAGCGCGTCGGTGAAGTAGTCGAAGCCGGGGGGCCCGCGGAAGCCGACCCACTGGTTGACCGAGTACAGCTGGCCAAAGGCCAGGACCAGCAGCAGCTTCGCGTAGGCGAGGCAGCCGTCGCGGTCGCGCAGGTCCGGGGCGCCGGCGTGATAGGCGGCGGCCAGGAGGCGCTCAAACGAGTCGGCCGGGTCGGTAAAGGCAAAGATGGTGCCGATGTACATGTACTGCGCCGCAAACAGCCGGCGTGCCATGTCGACGGGCGGCAGCCGTGAGCTCAGCCGGAGGACCGTGTGCCGGCGCGAGGGCAGCGCGTCGGGCTCGTACAGGTTGGCGTCGTCGAGGCCGGCGTCGTCGTTGTCGGCGGCGGCGGCGGCGCCGTAGCGGCCCGACAGCTTGCGCGCGTTGCGCAGGAAGTTGTCCGACGACGCGGGGCCCTGGAAGCCTGGCTCCCGGCCCTGCTCAGAACGGCGGCGGGCAGGAGGGGGGGCGTGGAGGGAGACGGGGACTTACTGGTCAAGGGCCGGTCGAGGCTGAGCTGGGTAAAGGGCTCGAGCAAGGGCTGCTCGTCGCCGAAGTCCTCGTCTCCGTCGAGCGCGGCGCCCTGGTCTCGGCCGCCATCGCCACTGGCCTCACTCGACTGCGCGGCTGCCGGATGGAAACAGGTCAGCCGTCAAGCTCGCGGGCCGTCAAGGGAGAGAGAGACAAGAAGGAGGAGGAGGAGGAGGAGGAGGAGTAGAGAACAAGGAGGATAAGAGAAGAGGCCCACCGTCGAAAGCCTTGGCCTTGGCCTCGAGCTGCCTCAGATAACTGACAAACAAAAGCGTCGGTGCTGAGCAGACAAACATACACGCGGCCCAAGGGACTCACGACTCGTTGACGAGAATCTTCCTCGCCCCCTCGTACACGCACGCCAGCCCGCCATCGCGGCACCGCGAGCAGCTCGGCTTCTCCTTGGAGCAGTACGAGCGCCGCTGACGGCAGTGGAGGCAGCTATGCGAGGCCGGCCCCCGGGTTAGCACATGCATGCAGAGAGACGCGGGGACAAGCAACGTGTGTCACCGGGCGGAGAGCCGGAGCCGGAAGCTACGGACGGGGAGCAAGAGAGCGGGGGAAGGGCGGTTGGTTTCGGGACTCACGCGACGGGCCGGGAGGACATGTGGTCCGTGGCCGGGGCCGTGACCGGGGCGGCGGCGGCGCGAGCAGCCATGCCCGCCTATGCTGTCACGGACCTACAGAGAGGGAAAAAGAAACGCGTCACGGACAGTGGGCAAGCCGAGCAGATGGCGGAGAACGAAGCCGAGATGCAACGATCCTCCCCCCCCTTCCCCCCTCCCTGGTCTCAGCCGTCAGCGGGCGTCGTCGGCGATGGAGAGCGACGGGGCCAACTGCGCGGCGCGCGAATGAGACGCAAGCGTGAGGAGGAGTGAGTGCCTGAGCGAGTCTTGCATGTACGTGTGCATGCGTGAGTGAGTGAGTGGGTGAGTGACTGAATGAGTGAGTGAGTTTCTTGTGCGTTATGTATGCAATGTCGTGTGCGTTTGGCGTGGGGCGCGTGGGAGTGGGGATTGTGAGCCGAGGCGGCACCCAGAGCACGATAGCTGAAGAGGAGAGGAGTGGCGGCGGCGGCGGCGCAGAAACAGCGTCGGGATGAGACGAGGCTGCCGAGCCGGACCACAGTTGCGGTCAGGGTCGGGAATCGACTCCGACGGATCCACGGCCGCGCACAGTTTGGACAGTGCGCATGAGAGCAAGGCATTTAGTAGAGTACCTATCCAAGGTACCTAGTCTGTTAGCCAAGTACCTACCTCCCAAGCTACCTAGGTACTGTACGAAATGATGAACCAGGGTTCGGTCCGGCAAGTGCTGGCGGGCGGGCGCGGTGGCACGTACCGGGTACATACATATGCAGGGCCCGGGTGAGCAGGTACGTACTTAATGCGATGGAGCGGCGAATACCTTCAGCAGACACCCAAGCCCCGGTAGCTCAACGGAAGAGCAGTTCAACTGCAAAGTTGCGGAAAAACGGCAAGTGCCTTGGAAAGGTCGCCAGTTCAACTCTGGCCTGGGGCACTTCTTTTTTTTTGTCCTGTTCAGTCTGTTCCGGCTGCTCGCTGTTCATCATCTCTTTGACCGAGCAACCCCGGTGTCGCCTGCACGTGGCCTCGTCCAATCACGGGCCGCGTCATGGCAGCAGAGCCCCACTATCTTCAGTACAGGTACAGTACCTGCGAGGGTATCCACGTACTGTGCGCAACGCTCTCGCTTAGTATATAATAGTACTCCGTACGTACTGCTAGACCCCCACGACGCTTCCAGCACGCCGGGCCGGCCGCGGACCCACTCCGGTGCTTGCGCCCCCGAAGCCGCCCGGGTCCTTGCCCATCTTGGCCCGCGCGCACTTGGCCACGAGAATAAGACAGGGAACTGGGTTGACGGGACTCCTTTTCCTGTCGCCCAGCGTTCCTCCCCGTTCGTTCCCCATGCGTGCGTCCATGTCCGTATAAACCTTCTCCATACCCCGTGGCATTCTCCGGACCCAACTGGGCGGCACACACACATACACACCCACACACACACACACACACGCAACACACACAAGATCCCGTCATACCGTGTGACCCCAACCTCACGCTTTCCCATTATTTTACTTTGAACAGCTTCCCCCCGCGCCTCTTCGTACATCTGCCCAATCTCTCTCGCCATCCCCCTCTTGTGTGCGTACATAGAGAGGGAGAGAGAGAGAGCAACGCAAATCGAAAGCCCCCTCCCTGCCGTCCGGCAAGCCAAGCCATCATGGCCGAGCCGCTCCGCATCCGCGTCTCCATCGACAGAGGTGGGACCTTCACCGACGTGCACGCCGCTGTCCCCGGCCGTGACGACGACATCGTCCTCAAGCTCCTCTCCGTCGACCCGGCAAACTACCAGGATGCACCCACCGAGGGCATCCGCCGCGTTCTCGAGCTGGTCACCGGCGAGTCCCTGCCCCGGGGCCAGCCCCTCGACCTCTTCCACTTCGAGTCCATTCGCATGGGTACCACGGTCGCCACAAACGCCCTGCTCGAGCGCAAGGGAGACCCCGTCGCCCTCATCACCACCCGCGGCTTCCGCCACCTCCTGGCCATTGGAAACCAGTCCCGCCCCGACATCTTTGATCTCTCCGTCTCGAGGCCCGAGGCTCTCTTTGCCCGCGTCGTCGAGATCGACGAGCGTGTCACCATGGAAGACTACACCGAGGACCCCGCCGCCGCCAAGACGGTCCCCGGTCCGGACGACGCCGACCTCGTCACCGCCCTGACGGGAGAGACGATGCGTGTCCTGCGGCGGCCCGACCCTGCCGAAATCGAGGTCCGGCTGGCCGAGCTCTGGGCGCTGGGCTTTCGCTCCGTTGCCGTCGTCTTCATCCACTCATACGCCTTCCCGGACCACGAGCTCCTAGTCGGCCAACTGGCCCGGCGCGTGGGCTTCTCCGTCACCCTCTCGTCGCAGGTCCAGCCCATGATCAACGTCGTCCCCCGCGGCATGTCCGCCGTCGCCGACGCCTACCTGACCCCCGTCATCCGACGTTACATCGACTCCATTTCCGCAAACTTCAAGGGCGGCTTCGGCTCCGCCGCCACACGCATCGAGTTCATGCAGTCCGACGGTGGCCTTGCCGACTACCGCAACTTCACCGGCCTCAAGGCCATCCTGTCCGGGCCCGCCGGCGGCGTCGTCGGCTACGCCCAGACCTCTTTCGACGAGGACGAACGCCGCCCCATCATCGGCTTCGACATGGGAGGGACTTCGACCGACGTGTCGCGGTACGCCGGCGCCTATGACCACGTCTTCGAGACGACCACGGCCGGCATCGCCATCCAGTCGCCCCAGCTCGACATCCACACCGTCGCTGCCGGAGGAGGCTCCATCCTGGGCTGGAAAAACGGCCTTTTCCACGTTGGGCCCGACTCGGCCTCGGCCCATCCGGGGCCCGCCTGCTACCGCAAGGGAGGGCCCCTCACCATAACCGATGCCAACCTTCTCCTCGGCCGCCTGCTCCCAGACTACTTCCCCAAGGTCTTTGGCCCCGAGGAGAATGAGCCGCTGAGCCGGGACATTGTCGACGCCAAGTTCGCCGAGTTGACGGCCGACATTAACCGGGACAGAAAGCGCTCCGGCCTGTCGCCCTTCTCGCCCCAAGAAGTCGCCCTCGGCTTTCTCAAAGTCGCCGACGAGGGCATGGCTGGACCCATCCGCGCCCTCACCGAGGCACGCGGACACGAGGCCGGCGACCACCATCTCGCCTGCTTCGGCGGCGCCGGCGGGCAGCACGCTTGCTCCGTCGCCGGGGTTCTCGGCATCTCACGCATCATCATCCACAAGTATTCGTCCGTCCTGTCGGCCTACGGCATCTCGCTGGCCGACGTCGTCCACGAGGTTCAGCGGCCCGCGGCCATCATGTACCGTGACGAAACCAAGGCCGCCCTCCGCCTCCAGCTCGAGCAGCTCGCCGAGCAGGCCACCCTCGAGCTCATCAAGCAAGGCTTTCCGCCGGGACGCATCTCCCACAGCGCCTACCTGAGCATGCGTTACGTTGGCTCCAGCAGCTCCCTCATGATCCGCAAGGGCGACGACGACTGGGACTTCAAGCGCGAGTTTGAGGAGGCCCACCGCCGCGGCTTTGGCTTCCACTTCCCGGACAAGGGTATTGTCGTCGATGACATTCGTATCAGGGCCGTCGGCGCCACAGGGGCCAGACGGGCCAGCACTCCCTTTGCCCAGATGAAGAAGCTGATGCGCCATTCCTCGCCCCCGGCTCCCAGCGGAATAAGCCCCGTATATTTTGACGCCTGCGGCTACCTCGAGACCCCTGTTTACGAGCTGCAGGGTCTGCCTGCGGGAGCGCACCTGGCCGGGCCGGCCCTCATCATCGACAACACCCAGACAATCCTCGTCTGGCCGGGCACGACGGCCACGATCCTCGACAGCTACGTCGTCGTCGACGCCGCTCCTCGCCCGATGGAGTCTTTGCCGGACGCCACGGGTGACGAGTTCAGCCCGATCCAACTGACCGTATTCGGCCATCGCTTCATGTCTGTGGCGGAGCAGATGGGCCGCACGCTGAAGAAGACGGCCGTTTCGACCAACATCAAGGAGCGTCTCGACTTCTCGTGCGCCATCTTCAGCCCCGACGGCGGCCTCGTCGCCAACGCGCCCCACGTGCCGGTGCATCTGGGCTCCATGCAGTTCGCCGTCCAGCACCAGCACAAGCTGTGGGAGGGCCGGCTTCAGGACGGCGACGTGCTCGTGTCAAACCACCCGTCGTGCGGCGGCACCCACCTGCCGGACATCACCGTCATCACCCCGGTCTTCGACGGAGATGCACTGGCGTTTTACGTGGCCTCGCGCGGCCACCACGCCGACATTGGCGGCATTCTGCCGGGATCCATGCCGCCCACCTCGTCGGCGCTGTGGCAAGAAGGCGCCGCGATTGAGTCGACCAAGCTCGTGAGCGCCGGCCGCTTCGACGAGGACGAGGTGCGGAGGCTCTTGCTCGAGGAGCCGGCTCGGCACCAAGGCTGCTCGGGCACGCGGAGGCTGCAGGACAACCTCTCGGACCTCAAGGCCCAGATAGCGGCCAACGCCAAGGGCATCCTGCTCATCAAGGCCCTCATCGCCGAGTTTGGCCTTGGCTGCGTGCACCGATACATGTACGCCATCCAGCACACGGCCGAGGACGCCGTCCGCGCCCTCATGCGGGCCACCCTCGCCAAGCATGGGCCGGAGCCGCTGACGGCCACCGACTACATGGATGACGGAACGCCCATCCGCCTCGCCGTCACCATCTCGCCCGACGGCTCTGCCACCTTTGACTTTACCGGGACAGGCCCCCAGGTCCTGGGCAACACCAACGCCCCGATAGCCATCACACACTCGGCCATCATCTACTGCCTGCGTAGTCTCGTCTCGTCGTCGATCCCGCTGAACCAGGGGTGTCTGACGCCCGTCAAAATCGTCGTCCCCTCGGGCACCATCCTGAACCCCGCCGCCGGCCTCGCTGTCGTTGGCGGCAACGTCCTCACGTCGCAGCGAGTCACCGACGTGGTGCTTCGGGCTTTCCGCGCCTGCGCAGCCAGCCAAGGTTGCTGCAACAATCTCACCTTTGGCACCGGCGGCAAGGACGCCGTGACGGGCGAGCACAAGGACGGCTTCGGCTATTACGAGACCATCGCGGGCGGCTCCGGCGCCGGGCCGACGTGGGCAGGCCAGAGCGGCGTCCACACGCACATGACCAACACTCGCATCACGGACCCCGAGGTCTTTGAGAAGCGCTATCCCTGTATCCTGCGGCGCTTCGAGCTGCGCAAGGGCTCGGGCGGGCGCGGCAAGAACCGAGGAGGCGATGGAACCATTCGCGAGATTGAGTTTCGTGTGCCGGTCCAGTGCTCGATTCTTAGCGAGCGGAGGTCTCGCCGTCCGTTCGGCATGGACGGAGGGGGCGATGGACACGCGGGGCTGAATGCTATCCATGTGACGGACGAGATGACGGGCGAGAAGAAAATCATCAACCTGGGCGCCAAGGCGACGACCAAGCTTGGCCCCGGGGATAGCGTCGTTATTCAGACGCCAGGAGGCGGTGGCTGGGGGGAGGATGACGAGGGGGAGGATGAATGATTTTGAAGTATGAACCGGAGCCGTGCTCGAGCTGCTACGCAGCAGGATGACAGTTCATGTCTGCCTCGCGCCGCTTTCCCAGGAAGGACACGAGGAGACCCGATCTGCCGGTACGGATTCGAAGCGGCGCTCCAAATCGCCTTGTTCCCATGTGTCATGGACATGCCGGCGTCTGGGATCGGAACCTCGTGTTGGTGATGCTGTTGCAGAGAGGGTGCCAGTCTCCAGATGGACACATGCGACTTTGGTCCTGGCTGCCACACGTTCATCCTCTCTCGGGACTCACGACTTCGCCCAGCTCTTACGCCTTCCCTAATGCCAAGCTCCTGATCGACGCCGCTGCTGCTTGGCAAAAACTAGGCCACATACATTGCACAGCGTGCCGAGACCGTCGGGACCGCAGCGCCATTCGGGCGTCTCGCCAGTGCCGCAGGCGTGGCACTTCATGCGCGAGTTGCGGGTGCGCTGCGGCGGCTGTCAGCGGGCAAGGGTGTGGCCTCGCGGGATGTTGGGAGTAGGCGAGAGAGCACAGACCTGCTTGCGCTGGACGCCGGACTTGCGGTGGCGAGAGTGATGGGCATCGTGTCGGTGCTGTTCTTGCTCACGCGGTTGCTGGGAATGGTTGTGCTTGGGAGGATGAAGGATGTCACCGTCAGCCTTGGCCCGGGGCGGCTGTTTGCTCTTCTTGGAGACTCTTGTAGCATCGGCACGGGGTTGGACGGGATGCGGAGGGCTGCCGTGGGTCAGGGGGGAGTGGGAGATGAAGAGGGGGAAGCCCACTTGATCAGCCTCGGAGCGCATCTGGAACATGGCAGTGCGTGTCAGCCTGAATGACGACGCTGATCCAGGAGCGGCAGACGCACCATGTGGAAGCCAAGGCCATCGCCCGGGAGCAGGCGCGTGGCCGGCTTAGACCCGGACATGGAGGGCTCATGGTCGTCGGGGCTGCTGCTGCTGCACCATGGAGTGGCGGAGGCGACGGATCCTCGTTGAGGGGGGCCGCCTGTGTGCTGGAGGGCGTGGTGCGGACTGCGGCTGGCGATGGACATCCAACGGGCAGGGGACGATGGCTTGAGGAGGTACGACGAGGCCAGGCAGTCTTCGTCGGTCTTCGTCGGTCTTTTGGGAGGGGGGGGAGCCAAGCGGCAGTGGGAGGAGGAGAGAGGGGAGAGGAAGGGGAGCAAGAAATAGTCGAGGAAAAGCGGAGGCGCGCGAGTCTAGTATCGACTAGACCAAACACACCACCACTCGGCCCTAAACACAAGAAGATTAGAGCCAACGCTCCCTTCTCATGCCACTCTTGGGCAGCAAGGCTCGCCGCGGCCTGCAAGACGGGAGTGGGCAAGAGGCAAAAGGGTGCATCGTGCATCTTCGAGGTCCTGCGGGAGGGTAGCTTCGGGCGCACTGTGCCGGCCCACATCTCCGCGCACACTGTGCAGCAGAGGGAGGATGCCAAGACAAGTTAATTGACATCCCATGTAATTCGTACTACTTCGCCAACCATTCTCCTTGGCCCACGATAAAGATCAAAGACGCCAGAGGTCAGCGGACTTCTGCACGGAGTACTGTGCAGGTAGCAGGACAACGCCGACTGCAGGGCAGCCGCGCAATCGATGCACGGAGGAGCGAGCGGCCACTCAAAATCATTGGATGCACTGTGCATGCACTGTGCGGCACGATACCCTCATGACCTGACTGACTGGCCATTGATGGCCCGCTCTTGGCCTATAGCCGAGTCTATAAATTTTCCGACAAAATGCCGACGAAACACCGCCTGTCCTCCATTTTCCGTGTGGCACCGAGAATTCCGCCTTTTGTCCTACCACCGACAGTCATTTCCGGACCGCCTTTTATTGGACCACGACCTTGACAGTCCTCCAAGCATATGCAATGCCCCATCAAAAAGGCGACACGCGGCGCAGCTGCCCTGGGCAGATAGTCATGGAGGATGCCATCACTTCCTGACATATGCGCCAGCAGGGAACCCCCGTCTTATTTCCATGGGTACTTTGTACCTTGGCGAGGCAAACCACGAACACGTCGCTTCCATTTCCTCGTCGCCTGTGCTTTGTATGGCCACGTGGTGGCTCGTAGAGGAAGCGCTCCCGGGGCCCTGCTCCGTCACTGGGTCGTCGTGCCTGTCAGTCGCCGCTGTCTATCGTGGATCGAGGTTCAAGACATACCAGAGTAGGCCATACCTATCGTCAGTTTAAAGCTTGTGACATATAGGCCGGGGTGTGTGCCGTGTTCCCAGTCACTCTCTTGGTCGACCAGTCTTGTCCTTCCAAACCCCGATCCAGATCTGCCAAAAAAAGGGCCTTGCGACTTGTATATTTTCCTCATTTTTTTCGAGCTTTTTCGTGTACCGTCCTTGATACTTTGGACACTTACCCAAAAACCTTTTCGCCAAATAGATGGCTTGCTTTTGCTTGTGCACAACAAAGGGCAAGGCATTGGCAGGCACAGCCGTCGGGCCAGTCGATCGTCGTTATTTGTGGGGAGACGTTGCGATCGCCGTTGAAGAATTGTTCGTAATTAGCCGTGTACCGAAAAGGGAGCCCGGCTTCCTAGCGGGGCCGAGATGCGGAGCGGGCCGCTGTGGAGCCTTATGCATTGAACCTCCGTCGCATCGCATGGTGCAATCTCATCTCATTGCAGAAAAGAATCGTTCGCAATAGCCGCCTACATTGTGCTGGAAATGTAAGCGCTTGGCTTCAGCTGCTTGTCCCAATCCGCCATTCGACATGCAGCTGTTGAAGCCGTATCACTGCGAGCCAAAATGGGTCCCGATGCCGGCAAAGCCATCACTTGCTGGAGCCGACGACCCGTTTGCCGACCTGTTTAGGACTGGTCCTGGTCCCGACGGCCTTGCGAGATTTGCGGCCGGTGCGGGGTTGAGGTCCGGCCTCTGCATCTTTGCGCTGACGGGCTGGTCCGGGTCGTTGAGCCAGCGCTGCACACGAGCTGCCGCGAGGGCCCACGACTCGTTGGTGCCGGATTGATCGTTTCCAGCACTATGAATGGCAATACATATCAGCACTCACTCAAGGACATGCACAGGGAAGCAGATGGCAGTGTCAAGTTGTGGGCCTGTACGTGGAAACGGAGCCTCGACAGGCGGCCGTGGACGACCCAGAAGTCCCCATGACTGCGAAAGACGGGACGGTAAGAGACTGGAAATGGTGTCTCCCGAAAATGACTCGGTCTCTGGGAGCGCGTGCTCCGAAGACGGCGGCAGACAAACCGGGAGGCTTTGGCCGTGGGGGTGAGTTGTGATACTTGAGAATGCAGTCAACCACGAGCGGTCGAATGCATCGACTTGGATCCTAGCTGTTGGAACAGGTCGAGGTCTAGGAGGAAAGACTTTTTTATATACTCATCGCAATGCTCGACTGCTTTCTCACCCTTGCCTTGTCTCGTCAGCACAGCAAGGCCTCGAATCTCTCTGCCTTCTGCATACAGCACAGCACTAGCGTGATAATAGCTGAGTATTGGCTACGGGCTTACTTCTTCCCCATCCCTGCCTGCCTGATCGGCGCGGTAACCAGGTAATAAGCACAACCCATGCAAACCATCACGGTACGCACATCCCGGAGGTGCGGCGAGAAGCTCACCCTCCCCTCACCCCCCCTTTTGGGAGGAGAGTGACATCTTTGCCCTGCCGGCCGACAATCCGATATCGCAGCTTTATAGGGCGTTTTTTAGAGCTGCAGCTGTAGCGAATTAGACCCTCGAATTGTGCGTGCAGTAGTTGCGCGCATTTGCTACCGGCGCCGGCCGCGTGTCCACCTTGACTTGCTTAACCGGCCGCGGTTGCAGTCAGACAATTGGCAAACGGCCATGCAGCCCATGCAGTGATGAAGGGATTCAACCTTTGGGTGGGGCGTTTTGCCTTGGCGGTAGCGAATTAGACCCCCCAAGCTTGCTGTCAAGCCACCTGACGGGTCACCGACGCTGTCGGAGGACGCAGCCGTCGATTGCGCGACAGCGGTGATGAAGAATCAGCTTTAACGCAGAAGCGTGCATGCGGGAATACGGGAGACGGACTTCCACGGGCATCGTGACCGAGCATGGCGATGCAGGAAAACACGGGATTCTTACCAATAGGTGCGGTAGGGGCGTGTTGATGATAATAGAGCATCTGCTCATCTCACCCCACACCTCACCCCACGCCTCACCCCACGCCCCACCCCTGCTCCCTCTGCGCCATGCGGAGTCCCTCCCACGCGCTATGGGGGCAGGGCTCTAAAAAGATACATGGCCTCTGCGCTCTACCATCCACGAAATATGTCGCCACGCACCGAAAACACCTCTAGGCTCGTCATGTCGTATGAAGCCTTGATGTTGAGAAGCCAGGCATTACGGGTTCAGCTGTGGGCGAGGACGAGGAGCGTGTTGCGTGTTCTTCTCTCTTCGCCTGCGGCTGATAGCAGGGGGGGATCTCCAGGCTTTCTCTATCGATGTGCCGCAACTTAGCAGAAGGAAATCCAACTCGGAGATATTCCGTGATGATGGTCACAGTCTTCGCACTTAGGACGCCATGATTTCGTCTACCGACGCCGAGACAGCCATTATCACACAGCCCACCGAAAAGGTGTCAAGAGGCATTAAAGGGCATCGGGAGAGATAACTCGGACATTGCGTAGATGCATTCTTGAACGGATACTCTACGTGGTGTTGAAAGATGTCCCGTTTCAAGCCGTTTTCACAATAACCAAGTCCCTCTTATAAGGGGGGCTTTAAAAAACTTTTAACGGAGAAAACATTAAGCAGCATGCTCAAATGGATCATAAGCGATACATTCATGGTGCTTGAATTTCTTTTGTCCCCGCACCGACGAGGGGACCGGAAACATGCCAGCGGCTGAAGGGGATGGCCAGTTTAAGCGCGGGGGAGGGGATATCACAGAGTTAGCACGGGGTGACAAACGCAAGCAGGCTGCATATGCTGTACGGCAACTAAGTACCGCGCCATAGCAGGGATACGTAGGGCTTGGCTATTCGGGCATAAGCCTATCGCCTCTACGAGTGGAGAATGTAATAAGCAACGGCACAGCCTGCTCTAGAATCGCTGAGGCTTTGGCACCGGCAAGTGACGTCACCGACTACACCGTCACTCTATTCCTTGCGACTGTTGCAGAAAGGCGGCCACGAGGGATCGGCGGCTTCTATTTCCAACAAGGCGCTCGGTCATCCACCGGCCAGCTCTGAAGCCCGAAAATTATCCCAGGCAAACACGCGCACATATACCAACACGTGTCAATACGTGCATACACATCAGATTGGCGGAATACCGCTCGGACAGACACGAGTGGAACACTTGATCGATTGCGGCTCTGGTGCGACTTGTCGACTTGGATGCTTCAGCTGGCGACTTGTATGTACATGATTGGAATGAAAGCTGGCTATCAAGACGCTACGGAGTCATGGGGCTCGTGAATGGTAACTCGGCCAAGCATTAGAATATCCAAGAGACGGCTCTCCTGGCCTTTGCCTGCCACCCTTTCTTCTTCTCTACCGCGTGCTCGTCGGCAGTGTGAACGTCCGTTTCCAGGTCCATCTCGTCCAACCCGACTAGCTTGGTCCGTTTGAAAAGCTTCCACCCAAGATACATGATGAGCATGATGGGTAGCTCAATGTAGAAACTCACGAAGCTAACGGGGTCGAACTTGGGGCTGAAGCAGCTCCACCCTTGTATAAGCACCAGGCAGCAGTTGAGGACGACGGCCATCCAGGGGCCCCACGGATAGGTCCAGTTACGGAAGGGGAGCAGGTGCGTCTTGCCCTGGCGTTCGAGGCCGGAGCGGAAGCGGATGGAGGCGATGCCGATGGAGATCCAGCTGAGCTGGTTGGAGACGCCGACGATGCTAAGCCCCCAGTCAGACACGTGTGGGCGTTGGAAGAGGGGAGGCAGGATCCGACACCTCGCCACCCCCTCGAGAACCCGGGGGGCAACTTACTTTTGCAACCAGTTCCACAGCTGGCCGGCTCCAATGAAGCTCGAGGCAAAGCAAAGCCCGGCAATGGCGCTCGAGGCAAGCACGGCGACCCAAGGGACCTGTTTCTTGTTGAGCTTTGCGAAAACCCGCGGGGCGTGGCCCTCCATGGCGAGCGTGTACAAGAGCCGAGCCGCGGCGAACAGGGCATGGTTGCCGGCCGACAGGACGCTGGTGAGGATGACGGCGTTGATGACGCTCCCGGCGGCGCGGGCGCCCGTCATCTGAAAGACAATGGTAAAGGGCGAGGTGCGCGTCGACTTGGAGTTGAGGCCCGGGTAGGTGTAGGGGACATTGAGGCCGATGAGGAGGATGGAGAGGATGCTGAGGCGCAGGCGGTCAGTGGTTTTCGGGCTCGACGTGTTTGCTCGTCGGCACGTACTAGAAGAGGAGGATCCGCCAGAAGACGTTCTTGACGACGCGGGGCATGTTCTTTGTGGGGTTTTTGGTTTCGCCGGCCGTGATGGCAATGGATTCGGTGCCGCCGTCTGGTGCACGCACAGTCAGGCCACGTACCGACCGGGAGGGTCGAGGGAGCGGCCGACTTACACGCAAAAGAGGCCGTCACGAAGACCGAGGCGAAGCCCCCGACGCCGCCAACGAATGGGGCCCCGGGAAGGCGCCAGTTCTCTCCGCCAATGTAGCGGCCCTCCAAGTTGGCGCCAGCATTGACGGCGATACCGACGATGATGAAGGCCTGGCGAGGAAACCGGTCAGCGACGGCGTCGGACCGTGTTTCTCGTCGGCCCACTCACCACAATGGTAATGACTTTGAGCAGGCTCAGCCAGTATTCCAGCTCGCCGTATGCGCCGACGGAAATGACGTTGATGGCGATGAGGATGAAGAGAAAGATGAGGCTCAGGGCCCAGCCGGGAAAGTGGTCGGTCCAGTACTGCAGGATGAGCTGCAGGGCGACCAAGTCGGAGGCGGTGGAGACGGCGTCGTTGAACCAGTAGTTCCAGGTGAGGGCGAAGCCGAATGCGTCGTCGACGAAGCGGCTGTCCCCAACCAAGGAAAGCCATGGTCAGCCAGCGCGCCTCTCGCAAGACAGCAAGACACGTGTCCCAGGAGCAGCTTACCCGGCAAAGGTGCAGAAGCTGCCGGCGACGGGGACAAAGGCCGACATCTCGCCCAGGCACAGCATGGTGATGAAGACGATGGCGCCGATGATGGCGTAGCAGATGAGGATCGAGGCCGGGCCGCCGGTGGCGAGCGACTTGCCGGTGCCGAGGAAGAGGCCGGTGCCGATGGTGCCGCCGATGGCGATCATCTGGACCTGGCGCGCGGAGAGGGAGCGCTTGAGGAAGTCGGACTGGGCGAAGACGAGGCCCTCTGCGTCGTCGTGCGACGGCTCTCGGGTCTTGGCCTCGACATCGTGCTTGGGGGCCGTCGACGAGTCGTTGTCGCCGGCCGACAAGGGGGCTTGCGCCATTGTGAGGAATTATGTATCGCAGACAGATAGATGGGCTACGTAGATGTGCGTGTGTGTACGCCGTGCGTGTATGGATGAACGAGCCGGGTCGAGTCGAGTCGAGATGGGGAATCAGATGGCTGCCTCGGTTAGATGGAAAAGCGCGCAAGAGGGGGCGAGTCGAGCGGCTGACGACGGCCTGGTCGGTTGTCTGTCTTGTCGGCGCCAAATCAGGCACGGTCGCGGGCAACGAGGGTATTGCAGCGCCATGGAGAGGAGTGATCAGAGGCAGCGCCGAAGCGCGAGGAGGCTCCGCGGATTAATAAATAAATTGGGTGGCGGATTGCGTGCTCGACGGGGAACCCACTTCGCACTATGGGGAGATGGACCATTTATGGAGTTTTCTGCTCTCATTAGCAATTGCGGCAACCAATGGTAAGCACGCCATCGGGTAGCACCATCGACGGGCGGCGAAGCTTGGCTTGGCCGTTCCCCGCATGATTGGATTCGCTGTCGTCGATGATCAATCACGTCTTCTTCCTTCTTCTGTCGTTGCCTCTTTCGGTGCTTCCGCAAGTCATGTATGTGCCATTTGCCTCTCTTGTTTTCCACCTTGGCGTTGCTTCTCTTCGTCTTTCCCAGCCCGCAGCTGAAATCTCCACAAATGCCAGGCCAAAAGCACATGATCGACAAGAGGCCGACTGGGGTGAGAGGTAATTACAGTAATTACTGTCAGGACAAGATGCCTGATTAATACGCGCCAATTATGCCCCTCCGCCCTAATGGAGGTGCCCCTATTTTGCTTGGTGTAGCGGTAATTATTGGACCAGCCTGACAGGTGCCAACTGGTAACCAGTTACTCTGTACGTACCATACAAGCCCCCCCGAGACGCTTTCAACGACTTTGGACCATCCACCTCTTCACGCGTTGCGGGTTCTTGCACACCCCGCGCGGCCAACAGGACAGACAGTGTTGGTCCCCGCCCGAGCCAACGGCTTGCCCCACGTTTCCGCGACGGCACGCGCTAGACAAGCAAAAACACATTACAGTCTGCAACGCTCAGCACATGGAAGAAACCCTACTTCCGCCTTCTAGAGCGCTTCGGCAATGGTTCCAGGCACATGTGGATCGGCGCCCGTAGCCCACATCAGGTAGTTGGATGGTAGGGTGCAGCCTCGTGGGTGCCATTGGATGCATCGTCTCGGCGCGAGACACCTGCATGCACTCGAGAAACGCAACCCATCTTCCCCATCTTCCGCTGCGTCTCATCTCGCCATGCAAGATGAAACAGATCAGGCACGAGCCTATAATTTTACTCGTCACATGTGTGTAATCTGCTTCACAGAACTGGGTAAGGCCACTGAGCGTATGCAGCCTTGGTGGTCTACCATGCACGCGACGGCCTACCCTGTACTCGGTATAAAAGACGACGCCATTATCAGATCTCGACTACTCACCATGGTCGCTGTTCCTGACTGGCCCATAATACAGATCACCTGAATCAACGAATACGAAATGGTACCCAGCGTCCCTTGCGAGCCGCCATACTTAAGCGCCTGCTGACTGTCCCTCGGAGGCCGAGAAACAGCCCGACGACACGAGCGGTGGCAAACTCTTATCAGCAGCATGCGAATCGGCCATCATCCGAGTGCCGCAACATCTCCACAACCCCTGTCCCTGTTCCGATCTGGAGTACCAGGACGCGACTGTATATGGTTCACCCCCCCCGTCGTGCCGCTACATCAAGTACTGGGATGCTCGGAATCCCTCGCCAGGTTGACGCGTGCTAAAGTTTCGGCCTCATCTCCGCGTCGCCATCCCCTGCGCCACCCAAGGGCCTGCCAATCACGAACCGCATAGATGAGATGCTCAGGTGATGTGTAACATAACGGGGCAGAGGTACGGGGACGCCAATTTGGAGAGACCATCACGCCATGCATGGCCATGACTTACATAACTGGGAATAAGCCGGGGCTTGCCTCGGGTGCCGGCGTCGGTCCCGTTAGTTGCCGAGTAGATCTCGAAATATGCCGACTTTCACATCGGATATGCCGGCTCAGGGGCCCTGTCTCGGAACACGGCAATGCGGGTGTTGTACATATGTAATGTCACCACGACACGAGGACCCTTCCGAGATGCGGTGGCCAAGCAGCCGATGCAGTGTTCATACAAAAGCATAATCCAGCTCTGTTCTCCCAAGAGTGGACGACCTAGACGTCTCCCAAGAAACTAGTTGCCAAGCTTCGTCAGTGCCCGTCGTCTCATCCTTGCCTGTGTTCTGGTAGGAAATCTAGAGCGGACTTGCGAGATACCGAATCGGTTCAAGCTATAATATAAAGCAATCGTTGTCTAGCTTGAGCGACAGCGTACTTGACTCATCGCACAGCTTCTTTAGACGAGTCTACTTACTTGGAGGATAGAGCATTCTTACATTAAACGCCTTTGGCGCTATTCGGTTCTACTAGGAGTAAGACCTATACTCTTATATACTGAAATATATAACCTATTATAGGCGGAAAAACTATCCTATTAACTAGTATTAGTACGTTTTCAATATCCGTAGTTTGAGTAGAATAGACAAGGCTAAACTGATACATAGTAACTGCCTCGCCTCTATCAGTAAATGTTCGAAATGCTGGTGTATCTTCCTAATACTCATTCTGTATTCTCATTATACTACCATTGAAACGGAATGTCACCAGCTATGTATTATAGGGTTGTAATATGCTCTAATCTATGAGCACTTGCTATAGGGAGCTGGTTATCTATCAAGTAGCGATACATATATTGTATATAGTAGATAGAAACTCTTATGATCCTGGCAGCTTTCTCACGCAGCGGCCAATAAAGTTAGGCAGCGTGGCTTTACTTACTGCTGCGTTGTGTAAACTGATGCGCTACTAGACAAGTTCCATAAGCCGGCGCTTTTGTGGCGAGAGCTGGCACGCATTGGCTGACTCTGCTTCGCAGGACTGTCAGCGACTGGGGCAGTTGGGTGTTTCCATTTGAAGAGAGCTGCGAGGGGCAGTATACTGAATGGTTGTGCGGATATGCTAGGACGCGGACGCAATAAATTGCCGGCTGGCCCGTGTACGTCGTGGTTGGGTACGCCCACAGCCTCGACATCCCATCCAATATGTTGAGCACGACGCCATCAACGAGCCGCAACAACTTGCCTTGAACATCATTGCCATGTAAGTGTCCCGCTAGAAAAATGGCTCATAGGCACGCACCAGCCGGGAGCACGGAGCGTACAGTGCCCTTGTTGAAAGCTTCTGATCATGCTGGTTGAGTGCACGGGAGAAAAACGACGACCTCGAGGACGACGAGGACGAGAAGTCAAGTGTGGTTATGTTGACCGAACATCTCGAGCCATGACATCTGGAACCCCGACGCGAACGTGCTTTAGGGACTTGAAAGCTACGCCATCCACACAAGAGACGAAGCATCTGCGTGAGAGTTTGTGGCATACCAAAGGGAATAATGCAATACTTGTCGTATTGCACGAGTGGCCTTGTATGGTGAGGGCCGTGAGTCCGTGACCATCGACATAACGCACTTGCTGCTGACTAATAGAGGAGCGGATGAAGACGTTACTATAGACTTGATGATTCCTCCTCAACATGGGGGACGGAAGCATGCATTCGGTGGCAAAAGGATGCTTGCCGAGTAAAGGGAAGAAAGGCAAGCAACGAAGCTGGCGGTGCATACAAAAACAGTGAACGTCTCTCCACATGAGGAATCCAGTCCCCCAAGGCAGACAAATGGGCCTCGGGGGAAACGACGCAGAGGTATCCAAGCCTCGGTTCGATCAATCTTGCTTCCATCGCAGGTATATGTATTCAACGCAAATCCGATAACGTGAAACAGCATTTCCAACCACGGCACTATGCGGCAAAGAATGGCCAGCACGCCGCCGGGTGTGGACGTGCCTTGTCGAATCACCCCTCCTGCTTAAGCTTCAGGAAGATGGTGCTCAGGGCAACGTATCAGGTCTCCGCAGGCGGATTCGGCTGTGACGGTGGGTTCGGGCGAACGAGGCTTAGCCTCACGACGGACGGGCCGGCCGAGTCTAACCATCGCTGGATGTCGCTGGTGGACACTTGGGAGCCACCCTTGGACGACGAGGGCATGCCGGAGGAGCTAGGAGACAGGGAGGGTGGTCAGCAAGGAGAGACGAGAAAGGGACTGGAGATGACAAACCTGGTGTAGCTGCCGACGTTGACGGCGACGGAATCGTTCGAGGTGGGTGCCATGACGAAGACGGACGGTTTGAGAGAAGTTAGATTTGGATAGATAGCTCGGGTGCGTTGAAGACGGGACTGTATGAAGCAGGAGGCTATGGTTTGTCATGTGAATGTTGTCAAGGACCTGGAGCAGGCGAGGGCTCAGGAGAGTGGTCGGAGTGATGGCTTATATAGAGTCGAAGAGGGCGTGGGTTGGAACCGAGGCAGGGCCAAGCGATGGTTGACTTGAAGACGATCGACAGGGCTCGGAGCGGGCATGACGGAATGACCGGTAAGCCCACAGAGGCGCTCGAACGCCGAGCATGGCGTGCCCAACGATATCCGGCTGCATGGGGGTGGGGGACGGAAGCATGAGCTGGCAGGGCTCTGAGAGCTCGGCTCGGTTCTTGTCCCATTGGTTGAAGGGGCGCCGTGATGGAGAGTAGGCCGAGGCGAGCAACACGGAGTTCAAGGGTGGGGAGGTCAGTACTGGCGGAGTCTGACAGATGCGGCTCAAGCCTTTGGCAGGGACGCCAGAGTTTGGACCTTTGAGCAAGCCAGCTTGGCGGCAAGCCCGTCCTCCCCCCCTCACCCCGCCCCCGCCCCGCGGCAGCAGTGGACCAGTGGACCAGTGGACGGACAAGATTGGGAAGGCATGGGTTCATGAGCCGGGGGCAAGGGTGGTATGCAAGAACCTGTTCCCATTGGACGTGTGTGCATGTAGACGAGGCAAGCTTGCATCGGTCGGAGAGTGGTTTCGCCCTGGGTTGGGAGGGGGATCGACTGGCGGGGGATCGACTGGCTTTGGAGAGACTGGCTTTGGATCGACCGAGTGTCGGGATTTGGTAGTCAAGGACAGTTGCCCTCTCTGTGGGAATGGGATGCCATGAGCACTGCGCGCAGCATCGGTCCTAGGACTCCTAGCCAGGCGATGGAGCGCATGGGGGGTGCATCTCTGGGTGTCAGCGGCAACTCGAGAGCCGGCTGGAAGGGCAATGAGGGAACTCACAGCATGGGAAGCTTGGTCCCGGGCCGGAACCGCGCCGCGCTCAGCTCAGCCTTGGGAGTTGCTCCTGGTTATTAAGGTATGTATTGTATGCATTGACAGGAGCACACCACCGTGCTGATTGACTCTGTGCACGGTATGGCACCAACGTCCTTACTTTATCCGGTCCACGTGTCGGCTGATGAAGAAAAGAGACTTAACTTGCTAGTAGTCTGGGACCGCGAGATCAGGTCCCCGCCCGCCCCAAGTCCCCATTAGCATGACCCTCTACTCCGTATACTATCCATAGCCTCAGTTGCTCAGGTACGAGGCAAGTACATGCATGTCCTTTTTCATCAGCCATGGCAGTGTCGTCCCCATCCATACTGTGCCAAGCACGGCCGAGTTCAACCACAGTGGAACTACATGCCGTCTCACCCACCCACAGCTTCAAGCCCAGCAATTGGGCGGGATCTGCAGGGGCAGGAGGCTGAGCGAGTAAAAGTGTCCGTCTCTTGCTCGCATCTCGGCCACGCCGGGGTCGGTGCCGGATGACGTGGAGGGGCGGTTGCTCCAAGCTCGACTGGACAGGGACCGTCGACAGGGACCGTCGACAGGGACTGGCGACAGGGACTGATGTTGTATGCGCGCTCGCACACCGAAATGGTCACGCTCGGCCGCTCCCCAGGCCAAAGGCAAGCCCCATCGACTCTCGCCTGGGACGGTAGCATTGCATCGACGCCAAGCTTTCCCCATTGCCGCGTCACGGCTTCTGCCCGACCGAGAGATACGGTGGTGGCTGCTCGGTCCCGGCAAAGACGAGGATCCGAGTCCCTGTTCTTAGCTTTCAGAGTCCCAGGGACAGAGCGACCGTGCAATATACGCTCAGCCAGGCGGTCACAACTGGGAGAAGCAACTTCGCGCGCAGAAAGCCGGGCCTGAAGAGGACGTACTGTTGTTGTAGTATTTGCTGCCTCGGTATGCAGCTTGTTCTTCGCAAAACCCTCATGACCATCCCCGAGACTCTGTCGCCTCTCTGGTGCCTCCGGTTTCCGACTCTAGGACCTACTGCTGTCAGCTGTCGTCACCGGGGCGGAAAGTCGCTGCCCCACAACGGGACCTTGTTGACAGCCTACCTACCTACCAACTTACCTACCTAGTAAAAGTACGTTGATTGGCGCCACCGAGTTGACCAAGTAGGTAGTACTCAGTAATAGCTGATAGGTCACGTATCTCATCGGTTGGGGCGAGCCACTCAACAGGTGCTTTGTACTGAACATCGTTGAGCAGTCTACATATCTACGGTATCCTGGTACAAAGACCTCGGGCAAAAGTGTCTCTCAAGCAGTCTCTTGGAAAGTCACTGCTACCTGCTCTGTAGGTAGCTAGGTACGAAGGAAGCCGGCACCTGGCTTGTTTCCAAGGTACCTGTACTTTGGAGACGAGACTGCTGTAGGCGCCCCTGATTGGGCTATTCTAGCTTCGTCAGCCTGAGCCGCGGCACGAGCCCTTAAGGTTCGTGCCCGGGCCCGTTGTCTTCACTTTCTAAGATAGGTACAGTACCTAGGTACTGTACAATTTGCGGGGCACTCCCCAGGGCGTTCGCGCCAGCCGGGGGCGATACCTACCTATCTACCTACCTGTCTACCTACCTGTCTACCTACCTATCTACGGATACCTACCTAGGTAGTTGGACCGTGAGCCGTGCCTCGTCACCTCGGCTTGAACGGGCAACCCCGGGGTGGGCGGCAGGTGCATCTTGACCTGGCTTGCCCATCTACAGTAGTACAGACTTGGTGACTTCAACGCCTCTTTTATCCCCGAGATCCCTTAGCCTACATAAGTACAGGCACCTTACGTAGTCCCGGAGGTGCCCGGCCAGAGCATTATGCCTAAAGCTATGAGAGGCGCCATTGCGTTATAGGATGATAGGATCAGCAGGCTTAGGCAGAGGGTGCCTTGTCACCCCCGCTTAGACGGGCAACCCCCCACCGCCGGGGGTGGGCGGCGGGTGCATCTTGACCTGGCTTGCCCATCTATAGTAGTACAGACTGGGTGACTCTAACGCCTCTTCTATCCTCGAGATCGCTTGGCCTACATACGTACAGGCACCTTACGTAGTCTCGGGGGTGCCCGCCCGGAGCGTTGTGCCCAAAGCTATGAGAGGCGCCACTGCGTTATAGGATCAGCAGACTTGGGCAGAGAGCTCAGCAGGGCAGGGTCAAGATCCTTTGGTGAGTTTCCTTTCCCTGCAAGCATGGCGGGCAGGTGTGCAAGCGAAAGGTACCCGACGTGCCTGCATGCACTGGACCCAACCACCACTGAGCCAGCTTCCGCGGATCAAGAGAGAGAGGAGCTGCATACAATTCCCTGTCCTAACTTGAAAGCAGACGCCTTACGGTCCGTCTCACCGTCGCGCGGCACTCTCATGGCCCCATTTGCTCTGACTCTGCTTCGAAAGCTCGTACTCGGGTGCCACGTAGACATCCTTATTCTTTCACGTCCCGCACCCCCCCCCCTCTTATTTGCCCCTGTTCCGTGGCGGCGGAAGGCAAACCGATGACGATTTGGCTAGCTGTTGCGCCCACATCCGCGCCTCTACTCAACCATTGTGACTCCATCGTCGTTGCCTTGGGTCGCCAACGGGTGAGAATCAAAGGCAAAATAATCTATGCCCTTTGTCCCTTGTGGGCTTTGCATAGCCACAACGCCGGCACTCGCAGAGTACCTGTTGTTTGCGTTGCCTCATTTGAAGACACTTGTCTCATTTGCAGGTTCTCTTCAACCACTAGGTACGTTGCCATTTGCTCTTTCAAGGCGACTTGAACTTGGCCATTGATCCCTGTCCGTCTGTCCGTCGAAAAGGAAAACAAGTCTCACATCATCGACGCATGCTGCTGTCTCGTACCTACTGTACTCGTCGGATGGGCGTTGTTCTTTTGGAAGGGGGCGGGATCGCAGCTGATTCCAGAGCAAGGGGGGTGGGAGCATTGAAAAATGAAGCCCCCGCTCATGGTCTGGCCCAATCCGGAAAGGCGGGTGTAGGAACCATCTGTTGTAGAACTTGGAGAAACCCCCGAATATTCATCCAGAATAATGGCTGTCTATTAGGGAGCGGATGCAGTTGGTGGGGGTGGACCTATCAAGCCCGGGGTACATGTGTCCGGACTGTTAAGACTCGGATATGCCCTTTCCGAGGAGCTACCTTGGGTAAAGAAAAACAGATAGTTGCCTTGCCGGCTCCTGCGCGCATCGCAGCATAAGGTGTACACTTTGTACACTTTGTAGTGTATGTAAGAGGGGGAGGGGGATGGGCAGAGGTAAACCCTTTGGGAAATGGTTGGTTGGTTGCCATTTGACGGGATGAACAGCCCCCCGGACAGACCCTTGTCGTAGATCTGGGCCTTTCGACCAAAGACCAGGCAGGCCGCCTCTGTTTGGCTCACACCACACACGCACAAGAGCGACCAACACGTTCTTCTCTTGGCTACATCTGCGCATCACGCAATGATCCACGGTAGACACGTGTTTGACCGGCTAGAACAGAGCACGAGTCCCTTGATGGGCTAGCGCTCGGCTCCCTGGCGTTGGCCGGCAGCGTGGAGAAGCAGGGCTGAAAGTCCCTGGCCCTTGAATGCAGAAAAATCTACACAGGGGGGGTGGGCGGGGGAAACCCCAGACCCCAGCAAGCATCTTTGCCGGAGCAAGGTCAGACATGCGTCTCATATTATGCACTGTGCTCAACAAGTGCCTGGTAGACACCTGATGTCGCAGAGTGAACATTGGGCTTCCTTCAACCTTGACTTACACCCACTATCCATAAGCATCTGGGCGCCCCCGTCGTTCATCTCACTCACACCCCCGCCGTAGACACCGGCCCCGGGCAGCCTCGAGGATCACGGCCGTCAGCAGGCAAAGAGGTTCTGAGCAGCATCGCGATTGTGTTACGTTCTCGCTGTGGCGCGCCATATTGTCTCAAACTGATACCCTACCGTGGGAGCCCATATCCGCTGGCAAGCCCGGGAGCCACTCCTCGTCAGCCCTC